AGTTCATGGTCAGCAGCTGCATAGCCAGCACGACAGAGGTGTAAAACCTGTCGGTGACTATGAGACGTCGCTCAGTTGGTCCGTTGACGCCGAAGACTTGACGTAAGCTCCGTACGACTGCGGTAGGTCCCGATTTTTAATCACTGGGTGTGCTACTGTCTTGCATTTGTTGCTTTCCACAATAGACTTCAAACCTGTAATATACACAATAGTTCAAAAGGTTTTAGCACGCCGAAGACACGATAAGGTAACTTTGAAACCAAAAAAAAAAGAGCGTGCCCGAAGGCATGTTCTTTTCCTTACCTGATGCAGTAAGCAGACTTGGAACAGCACAGCATAAAAAGCTTTGTGCCCCAGCGATGGGGCTTGTCCTTCATGAAGATTTTCATCTTGTTGAACGGAGACGTGCACGGAAGCATCGCTTCGTCAAAGGCCATTATTGGAGGTGGGATGAAACTGGTCTGAAATGTTTCTTGCAGCACGTCAATCACCGGGCGGAGTTTCCAAGCTCGACCGGCATGCGCTCTTGCGTCAGCATTGCTGCTAAAATGGAGATTACGCGAGATATGATAAAAGCGATCCCTAGTCATAAATGCGTTAAAACAGCCACGAGGAATAGCACCTTCATCTGTAGTCTTACAATGGTTATCAACCCTCTCTTTGTTGGGAGCTATCGTTCTTGCAATAAGTAATCCAAGGAAAATAGCAATTTCTCGTCCTGAAATGTCCTTCGTGTTCAGCAGCTTAGTCTTTATGATATCCGGAGGTGAGACATGGAAATCAGGCCTTTTCAGCTTCCTATCTAGCTGCTTGGCGTGTAGACTCTCCACTCGCGCGTCCAGGTTCTCCATAAAGTAGTCGTTACTAGCACCCGCAATTCTTTCTAGTAAGCACGGCGGGACGAACTGAAAAAATGCACCAATTGGGGTCTCGGCAGCGCTCAACGCTGCAGCAGTTGGTCCATGTTCACCGCGAAATAGATCCGGATAGTCCATATTTGCCCAAACATCGCGACGCATGTCGTAGGGTTCATCCATGTATGGGTAAGGCGTCTGATTGTGTACTGGAGACCACCCGTTCTTCTTCATGTCGGCTAAAACATCAGCCTTGAGGTTGCCACGTGCAATCTCGTGAACACCACCTACTGCTTCAAGTAGAGACGCATCAAATGGAAGCTCAGGTGGGACGACATCTTCATCTTCAATGCTGGGATCAGGCTCAGCGAGCTCCAGCTTTTCATCATCTTCGTACACAGAGAATCCTCCCCCCCTCCTCGTCCGAATCAAGACTTGCAAAGACATACTTGTCATCGCCGCGCGTTACAATGTTAGGATCGTCTGTTAAAAAATATACATGATAGTTGTTATTATCATGTATGTGTATCATGTATACATAGGAATTGTATATCGTGTACATACACGTTTGAACCTACCAGATAAAGACGAACAGGAAAACGCAGCGTTCGATGTCGCGTCCACGCGATCGCCGTCTGCGGACTGTTGCACATTTGTGGGGCTTTGCGGAGAGTCGTTAGAGTCATCTGACTCATCAGAAGACCCGAACAGTTCATACAGATTGCGCCTTGAAGCGGTTGGCACAGCTGGAAAAATACAACGTTGAAAAGAGTTAGCTACAACACCTTCGAATTGTATGGATAGCGTAGTAAACGTACCGGGTGTGTCTGGACTTGACGAAAATAAAGCATCGATATCGTCGTCAGCTTCATGCGGCGAAGTAGTAATTAGCGGTGCACTGGAGTGAGATTGCATTGGAGAGCTGGGGTGCGTCTGTTGTCGTACTGGGGTGGTTGAGAGTGGCTCTTCACGCACTGTACTAACTGCATAATACACGATAGTGTTAGACAGGTACGGTGTAATGTACAGGCGTTGTAAAATATATCTGTTGGAGGTGTAGTAGCGTCATCAGGTGAAGTGGCTCCATCGTCTTGCCTCGAGGATGCGTGTGTGGCGTCGTCGGTCTGTCGTTCATCTTCCTTTTGCCTCGCAAGCTCATCTATACACGCGTCAACGGTTAGGCTCAGGTTTTTAATACATCATTAGAATAAACATCTTACCAAGGTCTAGTCGATCCAAATACGACATCAGCTCCTTCTCCCCTACAAAGAAGTCTATTCCGCGCACGTCTGTCTTGCTTTTACCGAGCTTCAGATAGGTGTGGTCCTTTGAGAGGCCTGTAGGAGGCTTGGAAGACCAGCCTTCCTGCCGTAGTTTCTTCCACCGGGCCCGAAACCCCGACATCTGACTGGGAGCGGGAGTTTTCTGAAATGAGCGCCAAAATGAGTGGCGTTGAAAATCCCTGCAGTTTCTTATATTGATTTGGCGTCAACCACATATCGCTGAGTTTCCTCTAAACTTTTATTTATGAAAAATTGTGCAATGCACCGCCTGCGCACACCGCACCAGGAAGGATGGGGATCAGGCTTCACATACCTATCCCTCTTTGGCTTAGCGTTTGTATGACCGTATACAAAAACAAGGTGAAAAACTAGCAGATCATTCATGCACCATTTATCGTGTACTATACAGGATAAGCCCTCCCTACGAAACGTGTATAATACAGGCCGTCGATTTGGGGGGTTAAGACCGACGAACCAGACTTCATGTTGGTACTGACAAATAAGACTAACAAGCAAGTGGCGCGCGCATTGCAGCGGCAAGACCAACCCGATAATGTCGGTAGTGAGTACAATAATTTTTCTCATCAATAAACTTTACTTTTTCAAAATACCTGGTATCGATACATGTATTTCTTTATAACGTCTCCATATAAAGAGCACCGCCATGGCAGCTTACCAGTGAGCTGCTGTACTATCCTCACTACTGGGGCACGAGTAAGTACAGTACTGTAGCTAAGAAAGAGTTTTATAAAATCTATATTGCGCCAGTTTTATTATAGAAAGCTTCATCGCGAGCACCGCCGTAAAGTAGCGGCTCAGAAGCACCAACTGGCTGGCAACCAGACGCTCTGATTACCATCTCGCTCAAATACGAATCCTTTGACGAACACACGACCAGTTTTAGAGCGAATCTGTCGTTCAAGTCTTGAATTCAAACTATTAACACTATGTTGTACCGGTACATGAAGAGGGGTTGCTCTCTTTTTTCTATCGTATTTTTGTCAAAAATGACCGCCAAAAATGTTGAGGGTGTTATCGAAGATTAATTTCGTTGGTATTCTGAATCGGTAAACGACTTTGTTCCCATTCAAATCCGGGATAGCTTTGTGTACAGGGTGCTTCTGAGTGTTTGCGCGCTTAAAAGTAAGGTGCTGAGTGAATAAATCCATTGAGCAGGAGCTTACCGTTTTAGTCCTTCACCACTGGAAAACGCGCACTGTGGTCCACTTGCTTATACAGAGCCGCTGCTGACGCGGCTTGATCATGCAGTGTCGTGTGTACTCTAAGTGCCGGCGGCTTGTGTCGTCCCTTGGTACGTTACCAGACTCAATGCAATCCTGGTATTATGAAAAGAAATCGTGATGGTAAAATTCGGCTGTTAGCTACAGTACATATACTGACAAGTGCCGGCTTGCCTCATAAATCACCGGTGACGTTGCCAATCTACCACAACAACTGCGGCTTCAGTTCCCAATTTCTCTCAAGCCCCTCAAGTCCCCTCAACGATGAAGGTCGTCACAATCGCTGTAGCTACCGCCGTTGCCTTTGTTTTGACGTCTGCTGACACGACGCAGCAAAGTTCGGGTTCTTCCATGCAGCAAACCACGCCGAGCTCGAGGGCTTCGAGTACAGGATCCCGAAGTATTTTATTTGGACCATATTTCGATCATCACAAAAACGGTCAACCTTCTATTTCGTACCTGGTCAAGTGATTTGATCAAATATCCATCTTAAGTACGGATATGTGTGGTCGACCACCTCCGTCATTTACACTTTCCCGACAACGAAGATAAGTAGTGCCCTTCCTGTACGACCATGAACCAGCAAGCTGTAGCGTCTCCAGCACCTTCTTCACCACTTCACGAGGCCACTATCTGCTCGCCTCCGTGCAGTCCAAGGCACCAGAGCACTACGAGATCTCGGCACAGCCTCGAACGCAAGCGAAACCCAATCTCTCAGAGCGACCACTGCAACGGTCCACGCCATCAAGACTCTGCTGGTCGTGGCCGCAGTTCACGTCGTCGTCACTCGTCCGGTCGCGAGCACAGTCCAAGTCGTCGGCACAGTCATAGTCGTGGTCGCGGTCGCAGTCCAAGCCCACGTCGCCGGCGGAGTTATGGTCGCGGTCGCAGTCCAAGCCCAAGTCGGCGGCGCACTCGCGGTGGCAACCGCAGTACAAGTCGTCGGCGCACGTCTCTCGGGGGATATAGCCCAAGGCACCAGATCTCTTCTGTACAACCCCGTGAAAGTCGCTGGCGCGGCACAAGTTTGTCTTGGCGCTCTTCGCATTGTCGCTACAGCCGAATTCCTCAGCGTACCGTTGGACATGATCAGAGACAGAGTCGTCGGAGAAGCTCAAGTTACGTGAGCTGGTCGAGTCGACGCCGAAGCCCAAGTCGTCGCTGTAGTTCTTACACTCGGCGCGATTGCACTCCTCGACAGCGTGCAGCTCAGGGAAGAAGCCCAGCTCCTCAACGAGACTCTAGCGATGCCTGCAGCGAGCGTTGGCCTGGCAGCTTAAGGGGATCACCTCCAGCATTTTTGAGTAGAGAAGGCGATCGCCAGTGTGCCATATCAAATTCACCTTCTACTGGGCATCCTGCAGACGAAGAAGCCGCTGAAGATATTCCACTGCATGTTCCAGCGAACAGTGTTCAGCATCATCGTCGCACTGTTGTCCATGCAGCTGGTCACGCATTTACAGGTATAATTGGAGGTTAAGATTTCGTACAGGTGTAGTTCCTACCGGAGTACAAAATGCAAGGCAAAGTTACATTACAAGACAAATAAGTACCAATTTCGTGGTGAACATTCTTGCGACCGGCGTAGAGTTAAATTACCTGGAGTAGATGTTACCGAAGACATGGAGGAGGCCACTGATGTGATGGCTATCACTCGAGTGGACTTGACGGCGGAACGAACCTGGAAGCAGTTTCGCAGCGACTTCTACCCTGAGGAAGTATCACTGGTGCAATTCGGACTTACACGTAAGCAAGTCCTCCAGCGAGTTCACCGAGCGAGACGTGCTCACTTTGGTGCAGATTTGCATGGTATTGTGGAGGTTCCGCCGCTGTCACTGGTATCGGGGACCACACAGCCATTCTTTCAATTTTACAGGTCCTATATGAATAGAACAACACTAGAGCGCTTAGTCGGTTGGGCTCATCCTGATCTGATCAAGCTACTGAAGTACAAACAGACTACGTTGTTTCTCGACGGGACATTCAGGTGCGTCCCGCGCCCATTCTACCAGTGCGTGGTAATGATGGTTTTTGATAATGCAACGGACCTATTCGTCCCTGTATGTTATACATTGTGCACGTCAAACACCCAAGATACGTACTGGCATTTGATGGAGGCTGTCAATGTCGCTGCAGACGACAAAATCGAGCCGAGCATGGTGGTCTGCGACTTTGAGGTTGGGTTGCAAAAGGCAGCACAAGTTCAATTTCCAGATGCAGATATCGTCGGCTGCTACTTTCATTTTAAGCAGGCCTGCCGAAGGAAGATGAAGGCACTAAGCCTCCCTGAAAGTGAGGTCCTCATTGCAATGAGTAAGGGCTGTCTGGATATGCTGACTGTCATTCCGCACGAGAAGATCAAAGACGAAGGCATCAAATTTGTGAAAGGCAAGATAAGAGACACGTGTGTGGCCAAGAGCATTCGGTATTCGGATGTGTTGTGGAAGCGGTTTTGGTCGTATTTTCGTACAACGTGGCTGAAGACATACACACCTAGTGTTTGGAATGCTCATGAGGTGGATGCTGCTATGGTAAGTCGTACTAATAATCCTTTAGAGCGTTTTAACCGCGAGATAAACGCGGAGCTAACAGCTCCACACCCTTCTCTACCATCATTTGTCGGCATAATCCAAGCTCTGTCGAAACGCTATGTCAACCGAATTGAGGATATGTCAAAGTCCCGAGCGAAGAAACGGCAACGTCGAGCTCCTGAGCCACTAGATCTCCCTGTCCCTGTGGAACTTGGAGGAAGTGCAGACACCTTAACGACGAACGCGTAGATTACGTAGAGTAGTAAAGATAATACAATTATCTGTATATTTAGAAATGTATGTAGAAGGACTTGTGCATGAAAACAATTTCAAGTCACTTCAGATTTGATCAGCTTTCGTCAGGGTCAAGGGATTTGATCAACTTTCGACAGGGTCAAGGGATTTGATCAGCTGACCATTTATGTGATGATCGAAATAAAAGTCTACCACAGGATCCGTGGAAGATTTTGCGGTCAGTGGAACTTGACTGAGACCGAGCACTACACGCTGTACAACAACCTGTGGGGTGCCCACGACGACCCGAAGGGCACCCAGTGTACGGGTCTCGACAGCGCGCGGGGCTCGAACATTGCCTGGCACACGAATTACAGCTGGAAGGGCTCCAAGCTTCAAGTCAAGTCGTTCGCCAACGCTCCTCTTAAGTTTGACAAGGTGCCTCTGGCCAAGGTCAAATCGATCCCGCCGACTATCAAATACGAGTTTGAGTCCAAGGGGAAGGTGGTTGCCAATGTGGCCTACGATCTGTTCACGACCTCCACCCCTAATGGAGACGCTGAATACGAGATCATGGTGTGGCTGGCGGCTATCGGACGAGCAGGTCCGATCTCGGCCACGGAGAAGCCCATCAAGACGGGAGTGAACGTAGGTGGTGTCAACTTTAACCTGTACCACGGCAAGAACGGCAATATGACGGTGTACTCGTACGTCGCTTCCAAACAGACGAACAGCTTCAGTGCCGACTTCAAGCAGTTCTTCCGCAAGCTGCCGGCGAAGGTACTATGACTGTGAGTGAGTACTCTGCAGCCGTCCACACCGTTTAGACTCAAACTGAAGAAGTGGAATTATGTGTCATTGCGTGTTCAAGACGACGAGTCATTATTTAGATTTGATAAACATCCAAATAATAAATAATCTTGACGTCGACTTCTATTGTAGACCCACAGACTACATTGCAGTTAGTAAAGCGATCGTTATATAGCTTTGATTCGATCCGTGGAGTCTCCAAACTATCCGATCGGATTCAGAATGCATTGACCGCAACGATTCCCGGTATGCACGTTCTCTTTTTGATGGCGATCAATCAAGCCGGTGTTTTCGTTGTGTTGCAGCATAACAATGCCAGTCGAATTCCTCCGATGGGACGCGGGCTCATAACACATGTAGGAGTCCAGTTATAATTCCATACAGGCTGAGCATGTTATTCCTATATAAGGGTACTTACGTTGTGTGATCCATTTCATTTCTAGCGTTTGCTTCTTAAATAGGGCTAGCGCCACCAAAATGTCAGTCGAGCCTAACTGTAGACTTAGTCTACAAGCGTCAGATCCGATGTCGATGACGAAACTGCTGAATCCACCTGTGTTCGACGAGATGGCCGTAAGAAGACTTCTGTGGGATCGAAGTGGTGATAACTGGATATTACCAGTTTAAAAAAGTTATTAATAAGAATGCCTTCGAGAATACTGGAGGCGAAGCAGAGAATGATGACGGAATCTTGCAGATATTATGCGTGTCGGACAGAAATTTGAAAGAGGTCAGAGCAATGCAGAGGGAGTAGCGAGAGGAACTAGGAAGGGCGCAAGCATTAGGACTAAGTTACATGTACTTCTGACCAAATTTGTATTCTATATTGCAAGAGAGACTTTTGATCCGCATGTTATTCCTGTTGGAGGTCTTCCAAGACGTGGTATTACTACGGAAGGGTTTGACAGGTCCCACTAATTCACAAGCGAATGCAGTAAAAAGCAGTAATCAAAACACTCGTCAATTCGCTTCCAAACAGCTAAAACTCATTCAGCATTACTACAGTACGCTAAGTTTGTCAAGAATCTTGACTCAAGGTGAAGCTCCTCCTCAGTTCTATTGCCATTGCTGCCTTGGCAGCTGCTACCTTCGCTGATAAAGCGATGTGTGGCGACTGGGACACTGCTGTGGTTAGTGACTACACTCTATACAACAATCTGTGGGGCAAGGGGAACGACCCGGGCACTGGGCACCAGTGCACGACTGTCCTCAGCACGTCGGCCGACAACAATACTCTTGGCTGGAAGACGAGCTACAAATGGGGCAGAGGCTACGTACACAGTCTGAAGGGTATGAGTCAGCAATTTTTGCAGTGTCTTGCAGAGTCGTGCACAGTCCTGCACAGTATCTGGTGGATAGCTTCACCATGTGCTGGGTATAGCTACCAGATGGCAGTCAGGTTTCTCTTCATAGAGCGAGCAATTTGGACAGCCCTTGGCAGCTGTGGTCACGCTTCTCTTCATAGAACAAACAGAGCTATCGGCTAAACTGTCTTCACAACAGGAACGACGTGCATCTTAGAGATTTCCAGCATTAAAAAAACACAGTGTCTAATACGGCTGCCTAAAACAACGAGTCCGCTACGCAGCTAATGATCAATTCTTATACGTTAAGCAGCGATGCAATAGTGTAGGCAATATGAGATTACATTGTGCTTACAATCTGACTGATGTACCTATAGCGGAAGTACTGCAGCGCAGTCGAAGTATCAAACCCGGTCGGAACGACATCTAGCAGGAGCATTTCAAAAAACATTATCACGAAGACTCCGCAGTTATAGTCATCCACTTGCGTTACCCATTCAACTCGCTTGAATGGGTAGCGCTTTGGTGACGGCGGCAGCGGCAACAACGGGACCAGCTCATCACGAAGATATCTTCTTAGAGTCTCGAATCTGTCTCCGGTTAACTGGGGGTCGATTATCGTGATAGTGAGCTCATTAAAGTTTACAGCGGTGGCACACCAGTGGTCGCTAGCATAGAGAATAAAAGCAAACAACCACAGTGGTTTTTCTGGGCCACTGACGGCAGTGTAAGGGGCGGTTTCCCCCCATAGGTTCATCCTCTTGACTGCATCGCGGAGGTTCACTAGAACCTTCGACTCAGCAATGAATTGATTATCCACGGAGGGAAATCTCATCATGTACGAAGGGATGCAGAAAATCTCGTTGTCTGCGTCGTACATGCTCTTTAACGCATTTAGAGCAAGGTCTAAACACGATAGCTCCACTAAAGAGCGACCTCGGAGGGTTGTTATCCAAAGATAATCACCGAGAACATCGATATTTGCAATACGTTTCTCCAGATCATCTGGGAACAGCAATCCTTTTCGCCAACAATCTTCGGGGTTCCAATCTGTCAAATCTACGTGCCGGAGCCAGTGAATATTTCTCGAATGTCATTGAACCGCTGGACAGCTCTGTGCCACGAACTCATGGCTTTAAGCATCTCCACGTCGTACACAATACTCCCGGTTTTGTTTGAGATGGCGAGAGCTGGCATCCTAACATCGTGATCACTGAACCACCTGTTTTGAAAATGCGCAACCTGTGCTTGGCAGGACTCAATCCTGCGTTGTGGCAGGATCGACCGAATTTTTGCGGGTTCTGTGGGAGGCATCTTTGCCTTGTCGGCCACTACAATCTTGGTAGAGCGCGTTTGATTCAGCACAGTCATACCCAACAGAGCCTGGCGATCTTTAAAACAAAACGCGGTCCTGTAGGCCACCAAAACTTTCATCATAGAGGGAATTACTCCATCCGCGACAGCTTCGACCAACCTCGATGTCTGCTTCAGATTATCTCTGTGGGTTTCTTTTCGCGCTTTATTCGCCGCTTTAGCGTGACCATCCCTCTTCTTTGATGGAGCAATCATCCACGTTACAGGTTGCGGTTGGTGGGTTTCTGAATCCACTGGTTTGTCATTCCGATCACTTCTGGCTTCGTCGGCCACCGCTATTGCTCGTACAGTCTTGGGTTGTGCATATAGTTCAGACTGTGAACTAGTCTGAGTGCAAGTCATATCTTTCGCCGGACCACTACCGTCGCTCAGGTCTATAACAGAATCGGCAATCTCGTTCATGAGCTCGTGCACGGCGCGCTGACTTGGAGACGTGAGGATATTGTGAACATCACATGGGGGGGCCTGCAATTCCTGGGTTTTACCAGCTGCACCTGGTACAGTCTCAGCTTGTGCACAATTCTCAGAGTGCAATCCGCTTGAAGACTCGACAGTGGTGTCTGGTGAATGTGGCGGGTCCTCACTACTAGCAAACTCCCGACACTCTTGCTCCAATAACTCAACTCGAGGACATTTACCAACCACACGGCATCCAGGACCTTCGTAAGTTGTAGACTCAAATTCCCATGGGCAGTAGTGCCCCACGAAGCTCCAATATCTGCAATCTGTCTGCCTATACTTAGCAACTCGTAAAATTTCTCGTTTTGAGGCTTGGCACGGTTCTTAGGCTCGCGAGAGATTTTTCTATCCTCGTACGGGAAATCCACAGGAACTGATCTCTCCAATTTCAACTTCTTGTAGTTTTTCACCAGCCATCGCGGATGGATAATACTTTCTGGAACAAGGATACTACATCCAGTTGCCTTCCTGTAGTAAATTATATGTCGACAGGGAAGAAGTCTCGTAACTCGAAAAATACACGAGCAAGACCAGGTTTCAGGATTCATCATGTATTCCTCTTGGATGTCGTCATCTTTGGCCGCTACGTACTGCAGCATAATATACGGCCCGGTAGGATAATATCGGTACTGAGTGGTAGATAGCAGCGCAAAATCGTATTGTTGTTTCACCAACTCAACAGCGTGGAGCGACACCGTATTCGACAAGGAGTTCATCTCTGCATCGTACTCAGTGTTGAAGTAGACGCCAACTTTATTTACATTTCGCTGCCACATCCTCTCGTTCACTGTCTGCCAGAACATAATGGAGACGACACAGTCGTCGAGTGCTAACGATCGATTCACCAAAGTCTTCAGTTTTTGCCAGCTCGACTCAAGTCGATTGTTGGTCTGGTTGCCCATATGCGGGACATTTCCGCGGTAGATTGAGCTCCACTTATCCTTACAATTACTCCAGTTGCGATCAAGGTAATCGAACCACAAGCGAACTTTAGCCTCTGTTCGCAAAACCACTTTCATAGTAGAGATCACATTGTTGTAGTTCTGTTCTGAAGGTGCACTTACCAGTAGTTGAATCAGCCTTTTCATTTCTTTCTTGGTGAAGACATCCAGATTATACTTCTCTTTCGCCACTTCTTCTTGCAAATATTTAACCACGTGAAAATGACACAGCAGGATTCGTACACCAACAAACTCCTCCTCCAAAACTGAAATTTCCGTAAAATCCTTGTCCACAATAACCACTGCCACAGACTCGTACGATGGACAGCTCTCCTTGAATTGTGCACAAGCCAGTCGCAGCGTTTCTTTTCTCTCATTTAACAGAAGGCAGTGCTGCGCATGTGTAAGAAAAAAAGTGTTAGTCTATGAATCAATATCATGCACAGTCTGAGACTGGTACACAACCACAAACAGTCGCAGTCAACTTTCAAAAGAACGTGTTGGCCCTTCCCCATAGCGTCATGGATCATGAAACTAAACAACTTGTAGTTGGAAGAATTCGTATCATGAGTAGCATCGATCATTAACACCTCTGGAAAATGCGCAAACATATGACGCATGTGCCCCGATTGAATGGATACGCACTCCACAATACCCTGCCCAAAATCAACACTTTAGGACACGAAAAATAGTGATACCAGCAAACAGCGCCCAAAACAATTATCCCACCTCTTCATTAGAGAAGACACGAGTCACGTTACCCGGTTTCTCTGCAAAATCCTCGAGAATTGATTTGATTCTCTCCTCCATTGAAGGCAAATTGTAGGATTCCCGCGTCAGTCTGGCAACCAAATTGTGAACGTCCTTCATCGTTGGCTGCACTTCGGTGTTTTCTGAGATATACTCCAGAATCCGCTTGCGATTAGCGCCTGCTCGATGCAGCGTTCGCACCGTAGAGAGCACTTCCTCGTCGGAGATCTGCCGAGCCTCATGGTAGTTTTCGTAGGCATCAGCGCTGATCTCATGGTTGTGCTCCGTTGTTTGCTTTGTGACGCAAACTTCCCAGCCTCCGGTTTCTCTGACACAAGCATTAATCTGGAGTAATCACAAACAACAACATGACGTCACAATACTTGCCGTAGCAGCTCAGATAATAAATGTGCTCACCTGAGCAGGACATCCGATCTTTCAAGAATGCTGTTTGGGACGCTTGCCCTTGCCTCTGCTGCGCCGTGGCCTGCCGTGGTGCGTACAGACGTACGTTTTGTTGTAAAAAGAAAAAGTCACTGGAATCGGTTTGATTGGATTCCGACTCTTCTTAATACGCTCATTTCGTACTTGAACAGGTGTGGCAGTACGCACGGAATACAACTGTGGCAAAAGCAGTAAGTTCTCATTTGTTAATACCAAGACTTGTACACAGTCTGAGACTGACAGACATTTAGATCCACACAATAAACATACCTGGTGCGTTCGCCTGCTGTAGCTCCCCAAGTAGCGCTCTAGATCCTCCCAGTCCGCAAAGAGTTTCACATCCAGTTCTGGAACGCGGATAGTGTTCTCCAGAGGGCTAAGACGCATTGGTGTAGGTTCATGTTGATCTTCAGAAGACGAATCCGATTCAGCGTCCGAGTCGGATGATGAACTATGTCTCGGCGGCGACGATAAGCGCCGCGACCGCCTCTTCTTTTGACGCGTGCTCTTCTGGTGCCTCGGTTGAGAGCTGCTCTTCTTTCTTTTCTTGGACTTCCGAAACGTAGCAGGAAGCGGACTCTGAAAATCGCTGTCTCCTCTCTCTTCTGTTTGCTCTCTGGACGACGAGACGTACCCTGAGCTTTCGCTCGCTGACGAGGCGTCTTCTCCACCCTCCGAGCTATGTGCCACCTCTGCTAGGACGCCGGCGTGCCGGTGGCGAGACATCGTGGAGCTCCGGGGATGCTAACGGTGCTGTCGGAGCGCGCGGATTCGAATGGAGGGAGGCACGCAGGACCGCAGATTTCTACGACGAGAAAACCACACAAATCTGCGTGGATAGGGGATACACTATCCCACAGTTGACATCCCACTCCGAGTGAAAAACGCCCCTTTTAATTACTGTGTACGAAGCCACTCTCCTACAAATGGGGTGGCATTACGTGGAATGTCAAGGGATACCCGAATGTCGGTCTTCACTTCAAGCCCATAGAACTCGCGAATGTCGAATCGATCTTTACAACTATTAATATCAACTACACCTACGAGTACGAGCCTACAACGACGGCTAACGTGGCGTACGATCTGTTCACCAGTTCAACACCTGACAGAGAATTCGAGTATGAGATCATGGTGTGGCTAGCGGCCATTGGAACAGCCTGGCCACTGTCGAGCGAGGGCAAGAACATCAAGAATACCACCGTCAGTGGCGTCGACTTCATGCTCAACCACGGTGTGAACGGAAACATGACCGTGTTCTCGTAGGTCACGTCGAAGTTGACGCAGGATTTCTCTGGTGACCTCACGGAATTCATCGACAACCTCCCGGAAGACGTTGCACCCGACGCCAAGCAGTACCTGACCAAGGTACAATGTGGAACTGAATCGTACCACGCCGAGAACGCCACCATGACGGTATCGGCGTACACCGTTGCAGTGAATACTTTGATCCAGGGTGAAATTGGCTTTTCTTCTTCTCCATCTATCAACTGAGAGAGTTCGGACCCACGGGCCAAACTAAAGAGGGCCATTTCTAGGGAGGGCCATTTGTAAAAAAAAGGATGTAATCAGTGTTATGTGCATTAAAGCCAGAAAGAAAAACACATGAAAATTTCTTTTTGCCGTCGCTGCAACGAGGTATACAAACTCAAAATGTTTCAAAATCGTGTCCGTTGCAGATTCACTTAAAATCCACTGTGTGTGACACCACACAAAAATCAAGTTGTTTAGAGGTGTGTCCGTTGCAAATAGGCGTGTCCGTTGCATTTATAAAATGGCGCCCAAGCCAACACTCCCTGCCTGCGGCTACCTAGTAGCATACCTCGGATTGTCTACGGATACGCTTAATGCCCTACTGGATGAAGCGAAAACCCGCACGTACACCCCCGTTTTCAAGGACGTGAGTGATGATAATTACGACACATACCGCGAACAGTCCCGTGTTCACGCTCGGTCTCCTTCTATCGGTTTACTGCGAGTAGCCATTAGCGCTGTGACTGCTTGTCTGGACCCGGCGTGGCTTCCTACAGTCTTCTCCTTTCTGCGCTCAACGCCAGGAGGAGAGGAGCAAGAAGCGCATCAAGGCTATCTTGAATTCTGTCATCACTGAAGCTTCCAAGAACAAGTTTACGCGTGTCCTGGCAAGTATGGTTCTCGCTTAGGAGGAAGGAACAAGTCTACGAGTCTACGATGGCTGCTTCACTGCGCGCGACGACACCAAATCTCGCGTGGTGCAAATTCCAGTGGGTTTCTGCATCATTTTCCGTGGGGACCTTATCCATAGCGGAATGCCCTATGATGCCGTGAACCACCGGATCCACTGCTACCTGTCATTTCGCGGAATCAAATGGGAACCGGATGTGGTAAACAGCGTGTTGCCCAAGACCTACTCGTGCCAGTACTGCGGAATCAAGTATGGAGACTGCAGCGATGCGTTCGCATCGCTGTTTCTGTACTAGGAATCCTGAAGCAGCCAAGAACGAAGAGACCAGACGCCGGACGGACAACAAGGAAGGAGAATGGACGCGTCCCCTTTGTTTGAAGACGTTCGCTAAGAGTGGATCACTGAGATCTCACACTTTTCGGGGATGCAACAAGAAGCGTAAGGCAGATTAAAACAGCATTCCATGATAATTATCAATGAAGAATGGGCGCTTTGTTGAATTATAACGATGGTAATTACGAAAGTTAAACTAACAAACACTTACTATTTAACTCCATCTTGCATATCCCCAGAATCGCGGAGGCACAATACTCGTATGGAAAACTGAGGGATCTTGTACATCCGCCACGGGGAGAGTTGATACAGGATTGAGAACAGACACTGTTGTCTCTGCGTTTTGACACCGATCACAACTTGATGCTGGGGGTGAAGCTGGGCTGCTAAGGTCTACCCTCTCAAAAAATACTGGATCTCTTCGTGTGCTGTAAGGAAGAGTGGTGCTTCTCCTAGACCGACGTCGTTGTCGCCTACTCATTGATTCTTCTTCGCTGAACGCTGGTTCTTGTATTCGAGGTTGAAAGGTAGTAGCTTGCTCACGATTAATCCACCAGTGCAAATCGAAATCACTAGGTTGTAAAATTCGTTCTCCATTAGAGGCGGTGATGTCCATGAGTTCATGAATGCAAGGGAGTCCATGTACAGCTCGGTATACGCCAGAACATTCACTACGATCCAGTCTATTAAAGACGATTGCACGTGCATCCTCCCACAGCTCGTGCGTTTTAGTAAGAGCTCACACTGAAATTACGCGGACAACCGCTGCAACACGATTGCCTTGGAGAAGATATGAAACTCGTACGGAGTTCCGTTGAGCCAAAAGTCGAGTTGAAGATGCTGCAGAGTTCCACCGAGGCAGCAAACGTTTATACACGGTAAACAAGTCGCCATTACATCCACGCAACCAAGATTTACACTTAGCGTGCGTTCCTTCGACGAATGAAGTGTCTCTGATACCAAAGTGTTGGTACTGATCCGTTCATGCTCGTACAATGTGTTTCTTGTACTTTCACCAGTGTTGATCCAAGTAACGTGAAAGAAGAACGCTCAGAGCGCGCAACTCGCCTCGGTTTATCTCGAACTCTGCCTCTGTCGATGATTCAACAGCTCGGTAAAATAATGACATGAACGCATCCGTTTGCCAAGTGTTCTCGAACTGAGGTTGCCCTGGGGCTGGGTTTTGAACAGCTACTTGCCCAAAGACCTGGCGGGTTTTGCCGACGTCGTTCTTGTTCATATGCCACCTACATATCATTGCAGGTACGCCAGGGAACACAGTATTAACAGCGTTCATCGCTGCCAATTCTCTGTCTGTTATAAACACACTTGGACAACCGACACCTCTCTCCGACAGGAAAGAGGACAGCGTGTTCATAGCCCAGGTATAGTCTTCTTCTCTTTCTCGCGGTAGCCAGCATTGTGTAACAGGTAGCACCGTGTTAAATCTTGTCATAGTGATGATGTTCAACAAAGGATGCTTGTATTTGTTGGTCTTGTATGTACAATCTATTCCAACGACATCACAGTGAAGTCGGTACTGTTCCAGCGTACCCGGATGAGCCCAGAACAAATAAAGGACCCTTTGTGTTTCCAAATCCACTTCATATCGGTAGTAAAATCCATCTGACTCCAGCCGATTAAACAGAACTTCCATAACGGTCTTGGTGGCGAGTTCGTGTCGACGAGAATTGCGTCGCACTATTGGAAGCTGCGGCCCGTTGACGATGACCTGGATGAACTCTGGCGTCTTCTGACGGTGGATAGTTGTGAAGACGACTTCCGTTCCTCGTGTGTACAATTTTCCATTCCCCAGTAGGGTCAGACTTGTCCACGGCTTGGAGTATTATCTTCATCGGACAGCCAATACGCATGGAACCTCGCATGGGGCGCTTCCGGTCTTCATCTTTAAGATGCTGCGTACACTTTGGCTTGCCACCTCGTTCACAATCGAAACCACGTTTCCAAACTGCATCCCCTGCCGTCGCTGAAGTAAAGGCACGCGTCTTGGTCACATTAAAACCATGATTCTTGGTCCAGTCATGCAGAGCTGCAATGGCGGCATCCTCTGACGAGTACGTATCCTCAGGCGGAGGGGTTATTTCCACGGAAATTTTTACTTGCACTCATAGACCTTGTCTCCACACGAGTATTTCTCGGCTCGCTATCCATAGCAACTTGAGATTCAGTCGGAGTACCAAGCCCAGGTTCGTCTCCTGCGTTCGCTTGGTCTTCCACCAAAGGCGGCAGGTCACTAAGCGCTTCTGAGAGGGCGGAAACCGAAGGGCACGTATACTCACACGTTGGCGAAAATCTTGGACTGTTGACAGTCGGGGACACAGCGTTGAGCAGAGATGCTAGATCCATTTTGGATGTCGAAGTAGAGGCTTGATGAGTTAGGCTGAGAACTATCTCACTAGTTGGAGTATGTGGAAATGAGCTTACTCCACACTCCAGACGTGGACAGGAAGAAGGCTACACGCTCGGCTTCGTTTGTGCGATACAGTTAAATAACTTGGGACCTCGTCTTCATCAATATCTTCCACCAAATAATTGTATTCGCGTGCTATCTCGTCTACCCGGGCAAGAACATTGTGGTATAAACTCCATCCATATCTATCCTCTGCAACGGACACGGTGGGATGCAACGGACACGGTCATTTGTAACTTGATTTAAGTAAAGAAGAACAGTCGACCCAAAAGGGCTCGCCCTGCAACGGACACGCAAAAATGCAACGGACACGTTTAAATCATCTTGGTTTCAGTACTGGGAAATTGCCTGTATTTTTTAAATTGATTACATCCTTCTTTTTTTTGCAAATGGCCCTCCCTAGAAATGGCCCTCTTTAGTTTGGCCCCGGACCCACACACAACAGTTATCTTTTTTTATGAATAGAACGATTACCTTTTACACCTTTCCAATTCACAGCTGTGAGATCTACGTTGATGTTACGAAGCCAATCGAACCGAAAGCTAAAATCCATACCTGTAAAAACATCTACGTCAGTGAATAAAGTAAGAAGGATAGTTGACAGCATCACACGCACCGAAATGCGTGAGTTCGAATGGCAGCAGGACAGTAGTAGCGATGAAAGTGCCGGTTTGAACCAGTTCGACTTGTGTTTCCAGTACGAATGCCAGCTGATAAAGCGGGGAGAACGCAAACTTGCGCTCCAACAGCACTTTCAAAGCCACCAAGGAGCAAATCTTCAACGTGGTTAGTAGTAGGATATTCCCAATCGCCCCACTTTGCCATCCTTCAGGAGCGTAGACGATGTTTGGTAGCTGGTAGAGTACCAGCTGATAGGCTACGAACACCATGGGGACAATACACTCGACGTACTTAACTATAACGAGGTACTCGCAGTGGAATAAAAGCTGAAGTCCTTGCGTGATGAACTGCTTTGAGCGCTCTAATTCTTCACCGTTTTGGTGGGGGAGCAAGACACTGGAAGGCTTCTGTTGCTCAGTGCCTACTGCGGTGGGACCGATAGCTGCACATGAAACGCGGCGTGTTTCGAGCTCGCCAAGAGACTGAGAAAGGAGCGACATGTGAGCTTTCGAAGACACCGAATGGCACAGTCTCGAGCCGAATACATCTAAAGTCGCAAGCGTCTTGAGGATTTCTAACCGATCATTTGATAGTGGATGAGGTTCACACGCCCACAGTCGAACGCTTGGTAAGGATATCACGTTATGAGCTACCGGGTCGCGAATCATTTTCAGCAGTAATGTCAGTAAATCATCAGTGGTGTGGTTGCCTAAGTGGTTCTTGCTCCAGCTGTTGCTGTATCGCAGCAAACTGTAGACGGCGCTAGCGTTGGCACGAAGCTCGCGATACTCCAGCAATGAGAGCACCATGCCAGCAACTATAGCCAATACAGAGACCAAGACGGATCCAGAGCTGAACATGCACACGGAGACGAAGAGTGTACTGAAATAGTCGACGTCAAATCCAACGCGAAATCTTCCAGCTCGTGCATAGCTCGTCCAACGTATTTCTGGGCTCCAAATTTCCAAACTGGCAGCAATAGCATTACGAATCCTTGATAATTGGCCGGTACAAACGTGTAGAGCACTTTAAAAAATGGGTACATGGAGGCTAAGCTCACGTGCACAGTAAGGAATCGGAAAAATTTAGAGAGATGAGGTCGCAAAGGGGAATTGTTTCGGAACGGGGCAATCCCAAACATTAGAACTATCAGCACGCTTAAGATAATTCCACACGATACACTACAGACCAACAGCATACAGGGTACGGGAAAGCCCACCAGAGCTGCTAGCAAGATAGCAAGCCCAGTGTAACCAGCAGAGACGCCCGTTGACAGTAGAATAACCTTTCCAAGCGTGAGCGGGAGATCACGTACGAGGCGTCTCAGCAAGACCACACCAGTGCAATTTAAAAGGAAGACGATGGCGGCCAATCGGATCCAGAAGATCCAGTTCGCAGCCCAGCCTTTAGAGGGTTCTTGAAGTGGCAACAATTCCAGCATTATAGCAGCTAGTAGCGCTGGCACTGGAGTTAGCATGCACACCAGTAACACGCGGGTCTTGGACGCGGTCTTACAGTAGTGATCAAGACTTTCCAGCCTCTCAAGTGAGTACTTTCCTTGTCGACCAACTTGGATATCGTTCCACTTGTCCTCAACACGAGACACAACAGATGACACTCGATCCGATGATCTCCTATGGCCAGGGTCTTGGTCTTGATCGCTCGCTGCGTGCATCTTTTTCGTACAGGAATACTCGATGAAAGTGATGTTAGATTCAAACGAATTGACAGAATTAGCAGCGTCCGACCGCAAATAGTTTCGACTGAAAATAAGGGAAAAGTTTTGTTTGAAAAGTTGAAATAACTGACGAAGCGAATTTATTACGAAAAGTTTGCTCCTTTAATTTCATCAATACTCTCGAATTATAGGGGGGGATGAGTCTGGTTACGAGTCACTTCTAGCAGTAGCGTCAGTAAATGATCAACGTTTTGGTTGCATAAATGTTTGTTTACTCCAGTTTTGTTATAGCAAACTGTAGACGATCTTATGAATAGCGTTGGTCCGAGATTCCAATAATGAGAACTCAATGTCAACAGCGATACCAGCACGGACACTTAGACGGATCCAGAACTAAGGACGCACACGGAGACAGCGCTACACGCCACAAATTGAGGCATAATGTCTTTCAATTCATTCATAGATCGTCCCACGCATACCTTGGCTCTAGATTTTTTTTTTTTCAAACAGGTAGTAGCATAACAAATCCTTAAAGCATTGATATATTGACGCTGAAAGTGATCGTGCGCTATTAGAAAGTGAAATAATTCCGCGATGAAGTCGAAGTGGGGGGTTGCGTCGAAACGGAGTAGTGTCAAGGATCAGAGCAGGTAATACTCCAATGACAACTCCATTCGGTACATCTCCACACAGGGAACACGAAACCCCACCAGAAGGGAGCAACCTGCGTAACCAGCAGAGATGCCAGCTGATACGAAATAGTATAATAGTTTATTTATTTGAATTGTGAGCTGGAGATTGAGTACCAGTCCGTGCACGTTAAAATGAGGCAGAGGCAGCCACTCGAATGTAAAAGAAATAGATCTCCCGCAGTATACTATTGGAGTTAGCACACGCACCAATAGCACACGCGTTTTGGACGCGGTTTTCTAAGCTTTCAGCCCCTGAATCGAGTATTTTCCTTGTCAACCATCGTTCCACTAATCCTCAACACGAGATAAATTGGAGGGCACTGGACATCCTCCGAGGGTGCCGAAGGGTGATGGAAAGAAGTATTTTTACTTTATAGAAGTACGACCTACTTCAACCCCTTTTTATAATCAAATTTATCGGCTTCAATTTGGCATAGGACTGTCTGTACCTTTTCACGTAGCATCAAAGAAAAGAGTGAGAGTCTGTGACCACTAGATCCAACAGCATACTCTTACCGAGATGTTGGAGTTCATACGGAAGCACAAACAATGCTGCGAAGAACAGCTTCATACGCACAAGATCGAACTGCGTTTCTAAAACGTAAGCTTACGCTAATTGGTAGATCGGAGAGAACACAAACTTGCGTTTCAACAGCAGGTGAAAAGCTACAAAGGAGACAATCTCCAGAGCTGAGAGCATAGGGATATTTCCAACTGTATTAAAGTCCCAACGAGTTTCTCTACTGGTAAGTACAAAGCGTTCGGAAGCGCTTGGATCGTCGTCTTGTAGGCCAACAGAACTAGCGGAAGCACACACTTGACATATTCGAAACCAATGCCAGGTTTTTACAATGACAAAGTAGCTGTAAGCTTTGTACTATTATCCTCTCTGGTTTTCTAAGACGTTAGATTCCTGCAAACCATTTGAGCGGAACTTGGCGTTTCACAAGTCATTCGGGTCTGCTTGTTTGTAAAATGTGTGGCTGTTGTTTGAATGGAAGAGCGCGAGCTGTAAATGTTTAGATCTTCCAGCTCCTTTAAGATGTTGATTTGCTCAGTTGGGGTACGCAGACACAAGAGACGAACTTCCGGTAGACAATCGAGAGCCACCGGGTCTCGCGCTGATGCAAAAGTCATCGGTATTAGACCGTCCACCCCAGATTGTACACGTATACTTATTCTGGAGCTGTGGTAGCTACGTCGAGAGCACAACAGAAAGATTGACAAAGTTAACGTTAGCGTGGATTTCACGAAGCTTTGAAAGCACTTGCGATTCTGGTACAGTTGCCTGAAGATGGCTTGCTATCGCGTTCCAATACTCCCGTCACATATTCGGGTGGCTGCGCGAGACTCTATCGAGGTCTGTACGTCGTATGGATAATGAGTTATCAAAACTTGTCATATTGAGGTAAAAGTTAGTTGGCTGAGCTCCTACATTTCGACTTTCTTCCTTTGGAATCGCGTTGTGAAATAAATAATATGTGGGTGTTGGGGGGGGTACCGCTTCCGCAGGTGATAATTGGGCTTGAGTAAGGGGAAGGCGGCTCCCGATCGATTCTTCGTCGTTGTTGAGTTAGATGTGCGCTGTGTAGACGAATTGCTTTTTGGTCGACATGGGCTGCCCCGTTGGTTGACTGGGCGAGATGACGACCTCGTGCAGCTCGTGGTCCGTCGGTCTCCTGCTGGAGCCCCGGACTTTGAAGGTCACTAGAATCACAACGGCGACTGCTGCAGCGGCCGCGACAGCTACGACTGGCGCGGAAATTCCATCGTCGGAAGTGGACAGCGAGTCGGTGCGATCCCTGGTGCCGGCCGCGCAGACCGCAGAGAACAGCGTCAAGAAGACGATGCAGAACGAGAGCGAGAGCTTGAGCGAGGACATGCTTGAAATGGGGACGGTTTGTGCCTCAAGTGAAGAAACGCAGAATGATGAAATCCCATGGAATTGTTCCTTCTGCGCCCTTCGCATCAACACCATCGTGTCCAGGAACGTTCCTGACAGCTTTGTATCAGATCAAACTAGGATGACTTGACATTTGTATCCCAGCCATAATTTACGGACTACTGAATTAAATTAGAAGTTTCCCCACAATCAAGAAGTTGCCAGGCTTTATTTGCGATTTTGGAAGCACGCCACGTGCGTTAATGGGCAGCAACGTCTCATTGGGATGCGTGTGCGAGGTGGTTGCATGCGTGCCTCCGTGGAGGAGAACTCGTTCGCTCACAGCACCGACTGTCTTCCGTCCAGATTCGAGCCGATTAAGCCAACTTCAACGGCTCACTACATGGATAGAGTGCGCTATTAGAATTGGAGCCGACTCGACATGTTCTTGTTCAGCGTAACGGGTGACTCGCCCGTTATTAATACCCTGGGAGATTAACCGCGTTGGTTTCGACAAGTATCGTCCAGCAGTCCAGAACATCGCTACACTACAATGTACTGTAGTAGCGACAATTGTGCAGCAGCCCAATTATTGCAAAAATACGCGTGGTCCAAAATTCCCTAGCGGCCCAGACTCAGCCCCTCAAAGTGAGGCTCCATGAGGGGCCCTCATTGACTCAATAATTGGGGCCTCAACGGTGGAAGATAACAAAAGCGGGACGCAAGCACTGCGGGCGTCTCTCGCAGCTGGCTCAGCTGAGCGCTGCTTGAAATGCTGCGCCCATAGCTTTGCCTAAAAAAAGCAGGAGAATCTTCAACGGGCACATTCCTGCCCCAAGTTTCCCTCGCGGCTGAGCCTCATCCTGCACTTTCCAAGACGATGGAACCCGTGAATCATGGGCCGGTGTGGAAGCCTGCAGAGAGCTATACGTCTTAAGCTAATCTTGATCGGTGGCACCGAGTCGGGTCTGTCAGTGACCGACGGTGCTGAGTGAGACGCCGATCATGTAGCGGCGCATCTTTGTGGCGGGCTCAAAGACAAGATTCGTTTTTCGGTGGTCGTGTAAGTCCGCATAAACGGTGGAACATGAAGTGTTACAAGATTGATACTTCTTGTACATGTAGGAAAGGGTCCTGTCCGGATAAAATCAATAATTGAGTGATGGAGCGCAGGATGTCAGTGTGGTGTAATCTTTTCCGAATGGACAAATCTTCATTTATAAAATAATTTTCCAGAAGGCTTTCACAAATTACAAGATTGAATGATTTTAATCACAAATTTCATTGAAACAGCGAAATTTGTCGATGCTTCGTTCTACGGTACTCTGTAGTACCTCCATATTTAACATTTCTATTTTTGTGCCATTGCGTGTCGTTTACGTACGCTATTACTTATAGCACGTTAAAGCATTCATTCGAAGGCTCGTTACGAGCGCTACAGCTGCGTCTTTGCTGCGCTACGTTACCAAGCCACCGGTGGAAGATAACATTGTCGGTGCGACGGGAAAATCTTCGCCACACTTTTATGAAGTGACCTGTTTTTAGTTTTGTTTTTCGCAGCTGGAAATTAGAAAGGCGTAACCACAAACTAAGCTTCTCCACGCATCCAAATGGATCGTCTAATCATCACAAAGGTAATCTGAAAGATCAAGCTAAAATCGAACTTAGTGGATCTTAAACGTATCGTTAGTTCATTTTCCACCAATCCTAAAGCGGCTAATGAAAACCCACCAATTAGCTGTAGCTTTTAAAAATAAACCGACCAATCCAATGTTAATGTGTACCACTTTGGAACCAAATGTTAAATGTTTTGTGGGACGGAGGTAGTAGAACGTTTTGCAGAAAATCTGTTTTTCTAGTACTTAAAATAAAAAGTAAATAGTGGTTGTCAATGCTCGCAGCAGCTAAAAATATATTTTAGGGGCTGTCAATGCTCGCAGCAGCTAAAAATGCTGTCGTAAAAAGATGATAATAAGTCACAGGTGGTGTGAAAAAGTATATTATTACGATGGCAAGTTTTATTTGCTCCCACAGACATTCGAGTTATCACACACAGGATCCTTTGGAGCGTGGATGTTGTAGTGGCTTGGCGATGAATATCCAGGCTACCTTGCCAAAGAACCGCATGGGCAACGATTAAGCAATGACAATACCGCACTTGGGCGAGCTGATTCGGCATCGGGTGAGCACATTCCCAGGGACATGAGTGAGCAAGCCGTCAAGTTATTCAACGTCGCCATGGACAGCTTGCAGCTTCCTCCTTAACAAGACAACGCCAGCTATCTGATCTCTCACTTACTACAGTACTGCGTTTAGGTTAAGGCAATACGTGAGCGATAAGAGAGCTTACTTTCTTGTCGGAACCTAAATCCTATGAGCTTTATAGATGAGTGAGTGATTCTTAATCGAGCTGAGTGTGGGTAAAAACAATAATAAACGTGGATTTTAGATCTCGGGTAGGACTTTGCAGAGAAGAAACTTTGCTTGATAATAAATACATTTCTTAGAGCATTTTTAAGATGCTCTAACAGCTAATCGCTAATAGGAATAGCATAATTCTTTTCTTAAAAGTAAAGGTTTTATGGTTTCGAAATATCGAATGTTTTGTTTTTTTTAAGATACAGTTAATGACAATGTGGCCCTGTGTACACGCCGTCAGCTCCATTGCAAGCTGCCGACCAGTAATGCATGTTCTGACAGGAAGTTACCAGCGGCGACAAGGCCCAGCAACTTGCTGAGAAAGTGAGACCAATAATGGCGCCGGGCCGATTGTCAAGCAACTGTCTCGCCGGTGACGACAGTGGGGCGATCTGAAGCGACGCTTGAAGCGTGTTCTGGAGTTCATTCTACAGTACTGACCAAAACAAGTGACCTTCCGCACAACATTAAAAATCCTGCTACAGAAAGTTTGCACCCATTCAGCACCAATTTTTCGAACAGTGCAACCGCCTCGTCCCTGCTCACGATGTAGAACCGCGCATGTGGATGCAACTTCAACAACTTCAACTTGCGGACCAAACACAGTGTTTATTGCGCTTGTCTCTTACTTCTGAATAAATTCTCTAATAAGCAAGAACAAACGAATCGTCACAGCTCATCATTTGAAACGATAAATTCTCCACAACCCCCCACGCACTGATAGTGACCTTCGTGCTGCAAGCTTACCCATTAGGATGCTCGTTCCTAAGACATCGTCCCTTTAGAGCGCTTTGGCAACAATGCAAGATTGTCAGAAAAGGCGTGCTACATAGTACATGTAGTACAGTAACCACACCTATGATCTGCGCATCCCCCAGAACAATTTGAATTTTGAATCCTCCCCAATACAAGATTATTTTTTTCGGAAGTGGCTAAGTTGTTATTACAGTAATCCTTGCAAATTGTACGTAACGGACATTCGAAGAGCTAAAAAAAGTGAGCTATTGTCTTAAAACATGCAATGGCTTCGCGAGCTATAATGCATGCAAGCTCAGGGCCGAACGACCGCTGTAGCAGCTTCAGCGGCAGTCGTTAAAGCGGTGAGGTTGTTTCTTCCATTTAGCGAAAAAATGCAGTGTTTTTTTAACTTAAGGCAAAACCTGGATTTTTTGCGATTTTTGACAAACCACTTTGTCTGAAAACTCTTCGTAATACAAAATGTCTTCAACAGTGTCATTGTGCATCCATATCGCGCAACTACATCAACGATACCGGATGTTCATAGGTACTGTAAGGCAACCCGAGACGACTACAGAGCGCAGGACCACACTTCGCTCGCGTGGGGCAATTGCTCAATAACTGACAATAAGTCGTGAAAAGGTTTCCCATCTCCTTGTGATCTGGATCCAACACTGCGTCTTCTACTCGGTTGCCTTTCAGCTTTTGCTGACTGTGAGTGGCAATTGCCAGAGCAAGAACTGGTATCCAGCTCATTCCGCATTTTGCGACCAAGACGACAGATCAGCACTCGACAGTTCGAGTCTCCAGCAACAGCATTCATTAGCAACAACGAAGATGAAGGTCTCGACGATCTCCAGCTACAGCCTCGCAGCAGCAGCACTGCTCACTTCAGCGGCCGCTAATGAGGCAGCGACTCCGGCACCGACCACCACAGAACCTTACTACGACGAGGAGCTCGGCTGCTGGCCCATCAGTGTTGAGCACGATGCCACCTACTGCATTGACGGCCCAATCTGCAGCGGCTCCGGAACGTCCCCGGCCGGGTCGCTGTGCCCTGTCAAGGGCGACACAGCCATCGTCGACTGCCACTCGTACCTGGCCAGCTACGCAGACGGAGACAAGTGCGTGCTGCCCGTGGACGCGACCTGCCAGGTCATCCACACCGGTGCCTGGGGCTGTGTCATTCCTGGCAGCAGCTACCCCACACCCGCCCCCACCAAGTACGACAGCCCCACCCCAGCTCCAACCAAGTACGGAAACGGCGGCGGCGAAGGGGGCAACGGCGGCGGCGAAGGGGGCAACGGCGGCAATAATGGAGGCAACAGCGGGGAATGGCAACAACGGTGGCCAACGGAAGGAAATTGGAGAGAAAACGGAGGCTAAGGGTTGGAAACGGAGGAAACGGAGGCAATGGTGGAAACGGAGGAAATGGTGGAAATGGTGGAAGCAGCAGCGGTGGTACAGGGAGCGAGTCGTGGGGCAATGCGACCATCTCGACGTTAGTTGCAGGAACGGAGGCGGCTTCGGCTGGTGGTGTCTCGGCGGGCGTGATCGGTGCAATCGCTGCGGCGGCCGCTGCCGTGGCAGCTATTGCAGGCGTTGCAATCTACCGCCAGCACGCCAATAAGGTGCGCGAGGAGGATGAGGAGACGACGACCATGGTGGACGTCGTGACGCCCTAAGACGGCGAGCATCGATGGCAGCGTCGGCGGGGCGAGCGTATTCATTTTGTCGCCTTCGATATCATAAGATTTTTTGAGATTTTAGTTTTGGGCGCAAATTCTTAGTAAATTCATCTCCAGTTTTCGCCTTTTTTTTGTCGTTGCAGTGAGGTGTCACAAGACGTAATCAGGCAAATATGGAGGAGCCCAACACTGACGACGCACGCATTCCTGATAAGCTCCCTAATACCTTTTGCGTCAAGCAAATTGCCCCAGGCCACCGTGTACACGGCTTGGTAATTATCGAAGTTTTCTTAGCGCACCAGCTACATGTACCTACCGCAGCTCCGCTTGACGTTGCCATTCACGCCGTTAGATTGAGCGCCGCGGTACATAGCACGACGAGTCGTCGGACGACAGCGGCGACGGGTCGTAGCCAATAAGTACATGTACTGGCATTAGGACACATCCTGGAGATGTCGGCGAGGGCAACTTCAGTACATGAACAAGTTGTACAGTATCCATCACGCTCCGAACAGTGTCATGTATTTTTAGTCTCCATGCAATGTCTGGTGGGTGCCTTCAAAGTGTCAGTCCAGACAAATCTTCAAGGAGGCCACCACGCAGAAGCCATAATCGAGATTGTCTCCGCGTCGGGTGGCAGTGATCATCTCGGGGCCATTCGGATGGAGAGCGAGCGTCTACCTGTAGCGATGAAGATGCTGCAGGTGAAGGCTGCTGCGACGATCGCCATGAACGGCTAGCCAACAACGAATATCCGATACTTGTGTATTGTTGTCGAAGTATCGCTCGGGAAGCGTTGCTGCGACGCGTCGTCCGTCTTTGATAGACTCTATCAGGGCGTGACACCCGATCAATCTCGCCCGATCCTCAGGCTCTCCCCCTCTCTTTTCCCTTTGCCTCACATCTTTCTCTCGGTTAGTTTTCATTCTCGAATTTACATCGGCCGTGTGAACAGCAAAAGCTCTCGGCCTCATAGCAGCTTGCAGACTTTCAAGTATACAGCACACAACCAAGAGATGAAGACCTCGACAATCGCGACGATGGCAGCAGCGCTCCTAGCCAGCACTGCGACCGCCAACAACACCACAACTACGAACACCACCACGACGGTCTCGGGATGCTGGGAAGTGAGCGTGATGCAGGACGCCACGTACTGTATCGAGGGCCCTATTTGCAGCGGCTCCGGTCTTGAGCCTACGGGATCCAACTGCCCCGTCAAGGGCGACGTGGCCACAGCCGACTGCCACGACTACCTGGCCAGCCACTCTGGCGATGGCTCCTGTGTACTGCCCGCGGATTCCACGTGCCAAGTGATCAAGACTGGCGCCTGGGGCTGCGTGCTCTCGTCGGGCGGCAGTGCCAGTGCCGAGGGTTCCGTTGAGGCTGGAAGCGGCAGCGCTGCCGCCAACGTCTCTGTCCTGGCAGCCGCGGAGAGCGAGCAGAAGTCCGGCGGCGGTACGTCGGCCAGTTTAATTGCCGCCATCGCCGTTGGTGCGGGCTGCGTTGCGGCTGTGGCCGGCTTTGCGCTGTACAAGCAGTACGAGAAGCACTCGGCTGAGGATGCGGAGCGGGCCTATCAGCACACGTTCGTCGACGTCGTTACCCCGTAAATGGGATTGCGAGGGGGTCGAGCAGAAGGCGGTAGGACGCCTACGGTCTGTTACGCTTGGACGCGTCGCGATATGAAGAAGGCTGTCGCGTTTGGATGATCTCTCGGGCGTGTCGAGCTGTCGATCCCTAGCAGCTACTACATGTAGTTCGTAGTCTTCTTCGCATATTTTGGATCTATTTTTTTAATATGACACGCTTGTGGGTGACTTTCAATCGCTGCATTGTGGATCTGATTTCACACGCGTGTCATCGTGGCCATTTCGAAAAGTAGTGTACATACACTCACTCAGCAAATATCCTCAGTACGAACACTGCACATATTTTCATACATGTGCTGTTAAAACCGTTGATGGAAGTGCGCAATACATTTGTCATTTGACAACCATGGCGACACTTCCAGCGGTTTGTGTTGGAAGTGCCATCAGGAGCGCTGCCAGGACCATCAATCTCGCATTCAACGAGTTTGAAAACGGCATGTTCGTGGTTGGAGAATTGAAGACAGCGAGCGGACCTAGTTAGCTTGGATATTTGAGAGGACCGAGCATCGTCGTGCGATAATAATTTTGCTTTATACTCGGAAAGAAAATAATTGGGGCCACGTCGCTGCGTTTTCCTCACTCACAGTGTGCAGTGCATACAGCTCCTACTCGTCGCGGTCATCCCCATCGCCCTCTTGTGTGGTCTGGGGTCTTACCAAAGACCATATCATCTTATAGAGCAAGATCGCGAGCTCGGTCGTGCACTTGTCGCGATGCCTGGATCGTCCTGACAATGAAGCTTCCATAATACGAGTTGCGGCCAGATTGGTGCTCGCACTCCGAGCTTCACCACGTTCCATTTGTCGGCGACCCAGACGTTGCCACTACAACCAGGATGATCGAAACACAATAGATTCTACCTAAATTACAAGATTAAGTTCTTTGTTGCGGTGTACTGTACTTCTTCAGAGACGGAAGTTGACATACGTTTGCTGGCTTGCGTGTTCGCTTTTCTGTTAGCGCGTTGACCTTTTGTCTTGACGCGGTGTGTTGTTCCCATCTAATCAAGCTCTATCGGACAGTAATGTTCCGTTCACTAACTTTCTTCGACTGTTTATACATTCTTTGAAAACCCACACTGTAGCTCCTCCCTACCACAACCAAAAACATCTAGACCATCATATTGGGCGCCGCGGCCTCACTGGTTAGCGGAACAGGAACCGAGGCAGGTGCGTTCTGCCCACAGGTGCGCTTGCTGTGTCCTGTCTTGCCGCATGTCGAGCAGCGTCGTTTGGAGCCCGGGTCGTCGCTATTCAGCAACACACTGGTATCGCCATTCAGAAGAGCACTCGCAACTGCAGGCGTCATCAACGTTTCGCCTGCAGGAGACGGTTTCGATTTGGGACGGCCGCGCTTGCGTGCGGCCACAGGCGCTTTGATTGCGTGGTTTTCCTCCAGCTCCGACTCCAGCAACAACTCGATACTACTCGCACGTTGATTGCCGTACTGCTCCGCGAATGTACTGACACAGTAGCATATGTCCACGTAGCCTGCTTCCTCCTTTGAACGCTTGAAGAAAGTTAGTCCAGCCAGGAAATGGCGACACGGCAAGCCCATCTGGAACAGATACGCGCACGAGCACACGCGCTGATTCAGGTCGACACGATAGCGCCTCGGCGGGAACGAACGCGACTCGGTCACAAAGATCACGCCGTCGTCCGATGGCTGCACAACCTGGAAGTTGGCAGCTTCGCGTTGCTCTGCCAGTTGTTTGTCTGCGTATTCTGTGAAGTCTCGTCCGTCCTTGACCCATTTCTTCGCATTCACATTTTGATTGTAGGCTAGCGTCATGAACTTTTCCATGTAATGTTGCATGAGGTCGTAGGGCGCAAGAGACAGCAACGCCTTGTTGTCGTCTGCGGAGAAGAGCGTCGAGTTCCAGCCGTAGAGTTTGAGCTGCTGTGCGGCGCAGAACAGTGTCCAAGCACGCGGATCGATACCTCGTAAAAAGTTTTCTGCCGCGGGACAGGTCAAGCCGATCATACTGAGACACGAGTTGAACTCCGCTTCACTTTCTGCCGCCTGTGCGCGCCACACCAAGTCCTCCACTTGCACGGTGGCCAGGTTCTTGACCATGATCTTCAGATTCGAGAGAATGTGCCGCGTACACTGTCTCAATGGCAATCTCAGTCCTTCTGTCGCTGCAACAAGAGCTCTCGTCCTATCCGCTACCACGATGGACCTCGAGAAATCCACCTGCGCCTGCTGACAGTTCATCAGGAACCACCGCCAATTCTCGGCGTCTGCTTGTGGCGCCACTGCGATACACAGCGGAATCACCTCATTGTTGCCATCTTTGCCTTGCAATACGAACATCTGTCCACGGTAGTTCATACTCACGAGCGGAGCCGTGTCCAGACCGAGCATCGGTTGCAGTCCTCTCGACTGTTGATACACCGCCACAAACGGGTGTGCTAGGAACGCTCTCTTGAACATACCCGACGTCTGATCAGTCTCGAAAGCCACATACGCTCCGTGGTTTTTACGATGGAATCCTTGTAATAAACTCTCCAGTTTCTGGAACCCTCTGGTGAATTGTCCTGCTGCTAGTCGCAGAATCCGGTCGCGCACGCGGTACGCCTTCCTGGCTGAAATCGTCTCTCCGCTGGACTGTTGCAGTCGCTCTTGTAGTTCCTTGACGCTCGAGGCGGTGGCAGCTGCAGCGGAACTCGACGCTCCTTCGGCGTCGCCTAAAAGTACAGCTGCGGCCTGTCGTACAGTGAGTTTGGGAGCTCCTGCGCAGTCTGGTGCGTGCTGTGCGATAAAGGAGCTGACGAAGAAGTGCGAGCTCTGTGCACTTCGACTTTTGAGTAGTTTAATGCGGAATTGGCAGGGCGGCGCGCGACTTGCGCAGACATATTCGTATTGAGCGCCTCCAGATTTTTTTTTGTTGATGATGAGACGCTTGCCCTGCGCCTTGGCGAAGTCCTGGAAGAATGCGGTGGCTGTGGGGCGATCTAGAAACGTCAGGCCGCGTCGCAGCGTCAGCCGTCTACCGTCCGCTGCTGTGACCGTCACGCCCGGCGCGTCTGGGGTCATCTTGACGCTACGCGGCATGGTACAGGACTGAATGTCGAATGTGATGAAAGTGTTTCGGATGTTGCTCCAAAGTCGCTAGAAATTCGAGCAGTAAAAAATGAAGCGTTGCTCGAATGTAAGTGGTGTGTAGAACACGCAGCGAATGCGAGAGGCTCTGACAACTTCAACTTGCTCTTTGGGCTAGTCGCCGTGTATCTACTGCGATCCGACCTATTTAATCTGTGCAATGTTAATAATAGACTTGTAGATTTCATTTTCGATGGTCCAATTGCGATATAAGTTCAAACAGGTTTAAAACGCTTGCACCAACAGTCTGCGAGAACTCCCCCCCCCCAGCCGGCTTTGATGATACGACAGCAGCCATATGAGGAGGGTCAAGACCGTGGAGAAGCACCCCTAAATGCTTCTTCCTTGCATACATCGCTGAAACGCTGGCGTAACTTACTTGATGAACGCTGCTACCATCGTCGTCACTGCGATTCACTGTGACGATGGTAGAAGCCACCAAAAGGTTCGCATTCCTGATCTGAAATGCAGCTTCCTGAGAAACAAGAGCTCGCAATTGATCACCCAGGAAATTGCTGGCCCCGACCTCCAAAACCTGCCCCCTATCTTTTGTGTCACACGAACTCAACCGTCAGATCATTGCCACCGCAAAAGAATCGTTGTTGACGTGCTCGAAACGGAACCGTTTTCACAAGCAGGCACTTCACGTGCCGCTTATTGGGATTGTGCACGCAGCAATGACGCACTGCTTGCGCTCGAGCTGTAGGGTGTCAAGAGCAGCAGTTAAACAAAGATTACGCAACAGGAAGCCACTTGCTAGATCCCAATGCCTGGCCACTAAGTGTACAGTTCATTCGTTGCCGTTGGTTTCCCACACGCTCGACGTTGCGGTCAGCTGACAAGACGGTAGACGTTTTAGATTGTGCGTTTCTCCTCCTTGAACAATTGCTTTGTGGAGGCATTTTGCACTGCAAGCTGTAGCCCCATGTTCCCGTTATGGGAGTCTTCCTCAGAACCCCAACGATCTTTTTCAAAAGCGAGCTGCTGCAGCAATTAGAGACATCATTTTCGCATTCGCTCGATTATCGTCAAATCTACGAACAACAACTTTGGTTAACGCAATGGACACCACGGACCAATCTGTTTCGTACCTCGACAGCATGTCCGGTAGCGACGAGGCGTACCCCTTTGACGACGATGATTTGTTAGGCGAGGTCGACGGCAGTGACTACAGTGATTCCTTCTCCGGGTCAGAATTCGTCGAGTGTACTGAAATCAGCGTCGGAGGCGATGCTACCTATTGCATCGAAGGCCTCCCGTGCAGCGGCGACGGCGAGAAGCCTACTGGGTATTACTGTCCATTGAAGGGTGATGTCGCCGTTGCTGATTGTCTTGACGATATGCCGAGCTATCTGAACGGCGAATGCGTCGCTCCGCGTGATAGTGTTTGCCACAAACTTGACACTGAATCGTGGGGCTGCGTATGGGACGAAACGAAGGAATCAACACTAAACGTGGGCTCTAAGCCAACTCCTTCACCAACTGATACCACTGAAGACCTATTAATTGTGACCCCCTCCCCGACCGAGACAATGGACTACCAGGATTCGGCGACTCCTGCGCCTACCGAATCAACGACTGACCAGGACGACTGCACCGAGGTGAGTGTTGAAGGTGACGCCACCTACTGCCTCTCAGTTGCCATTTGCAGTGGAGATGGAGATGAACCTGTAGGCGAGGGTTGTCCTTTGTCGGGCGACGTGGCAGTCGGTGATTGCCACGACTATCTCCCGAGCTATGATATGGGTAAGTGCGTGGCCCCTAAGGACAGTGTGTGCAAGAAGATCGAGTCGGGCGCCTGGGGGTGCGTGTGGGGCAGTCCCGACACAGCGTCATCGTATACTATTGAGACGGCCAATGCGAGTGCAGCAGACACCGCTGTAAGCAACGCCGCGCCCGTAGCCGGCATCGTTGCCGCTGTCGCGATCGCGGGTGTGATCGTCAGTGTCGCTGTTGTTTGGTCTCGTCACAAACGTCACAATCGGCGCAGACGCCACGCAGACGTCCAGATGGACGCCATTCTCACGCCGCCGAGCTCGACACGCAACGCGAACTTCCACCGCGTGTAGGGCCGATGGCTGCATACACGTAGTGGATTCCTTTGATCGTCAAAGTTTGGCGTAAGCATACTGTTAAGTCAACTTGTGAGACCAAAATGCACACTTTGTCTGCAACGGTGGTCACGCATTGGAAGCCCTTCTATAACTTCCAGTTAGTTGGCTTCAATTTGATTCGTGTCCACGAATCATGAAGGCATTAAAAAATCAAAACCTCTGTCAACATATTCTTCGAAGTAATGATGTTGCTGTGTACACGTGTGTCTGAGGTTCGTGGGAGAAGTAGAGTGAGAGAGAGGGCATCAAACCGATGTGGGGTGTCGTTGCTGGAGAAAATCGAAACGTGCTCGATCTACACAAAGCGCTTGCGTGTCCAGCAAACGCCGCTATCTTTTAGAGCACGCCCTTTACAAATTAAGATGTGCATTTTCTCTTCATTTTGGTTCGGTCTCTCGCCGCACATGGCAACTTTTGCTTCTCGTACATGTACTCAGCAACGCCCGCTGCCAACGGAAAAGCTTCCCACAGCTGTTGAAAAATTGAGAAAAGCACCTGCATTTACTCATTTAGCTTCGAAAAGTACGAATTAATTCAGAGAAATCAAGATAAATTTGAAGAAACTACTCTGTGCCGCGTTTTCTACCACGTCATTCCAGTTTTTAACTCGCCAAGCTCAAGTGACCCATTCGCTTTTATCTATTGGCCTCAAGTCATCCATGGCGTTCACCAACGACAGTGCAACAGAAGCTGCCGTGGTTGTCGCCCCCTATCTGGCGGCCGTGGCCATCGTTGACAAGGCCAAGCTCAAGCTACAGGCGTCCATCGTCTCTACGCTGACCAAGTGCATCCCCTCCTGGAACGACGTGGTGCCCGACTCCGTCGACGTAGAGCATCTGGGCGGCGCCATGACCAACCTCATCTTCTCAGTGCACAAGCCCGAGGGGAAAGACCGCGACGTTCTCGTGCGCGTGTACGGAGAGGGCACCGAGTCTTTCTTCTCGCGTGTGGAGGAGACGCGGCTGTTTCAGCTGTTGAGCGACAAGAAAATCGGCGTGGAGCTACTAGGCCAGTTCGCCAACGGCAGAGCCGAGAAGCTCATCCACGGCTCTACGTACACGAGCAAGCGCATGCGTCTGCCCGACGAGTCTCGCATCATCGCCAGACAGCTGCGTGTGTTCCACGAGTTGGACATCGACATCGACCGCAAACCCACATACATCTCGAGTGTCCGCAAGTTGCTGGAGGTGGCACGCGTCAAGTGCACAGCCGACACGTTCAAGGACATTTTGGACCTCAAGCAGGTGGCCAGCGACGTGGATGAGATGGAGAAGATTCTGGCCGAGGTCCCATCTCCCATTGTCCTGAGTCACAACGACATGCAGTACGGCAACATCATGAAGAAGGACACTGGTGACGCAGTGCTCATCGATTTTGAGTACACGAGTTATAACCCCCGGGGGTATGACTTGGGTAACCACTTCTGCGAGTGGGCGTACGATTACCACAAGACGGTCAACCCGCACCTGGGAGACTTCTCCAAGTACCCGACGCAGGAGCAGCAGCGCAACTTCTGTCGTGCCTATTTGGCCGGTAAGGACGGAGATGAGAAGGACGTGAGCGAGAACGAGATCGAAAGTCTGCGACGAGAGGCCAACACATACTCGCTGGCCTGTCACTTGTTCTGGGCTCTCTGGGGCTATATCCAGGCGTCGCAGTCGACAATCGACTTTGACTTTTTGGCATACGGCAAATGCCGCTACGACGCATTCAAGTCTCGCGTGACGCTCAAGAACTGACGCGATTTTTCGAATTTATTGACGTGTTCCAGTGGTGGGACGTGAGTAGATTTTTTTAGGGTAGATAGAATTCACACCAGCCAGCATTAGCGGATACACAAAAAGGTATCGAGTTGCGTAGCATATTTGAGATAATGGAGGGGCTGTCTAATATGATATGGCTCTTTCGATGCGACGTTTCAGAAATAACGGCTGCGTCTCTTCACGTGCACTCATTACCATGTTTGACGTCTGCTGCTCCTTGTAGGACGATGGACGATCTCACTACGTTCCTCAACAGCGTCGAGTCCAGCGCTCGGAAGATCCTCAAGCAGCAGAACAAGAAGCAGCAGCAACAGGCCGCCAGAGACCGCGTGGCACTCATCAAGGGGTCGATTCAAAATGCACCGGAGACCAATAGTTCAAGCTACACGCCTACGCGGGAAGTGCTACGAGCTACGTATGCATCAGGCGGCTCTCTCGTCATTCCAGCTCCGATATCTCGGGCTACCTGCATCAACCAGCGATCATCCAACCCGCCACGTTCACTGAGTCGGAGCGAAGATTCGAGTGACGACGGAAATTTGCCAAGATTGCCACCTGCGCGCTCTCCAGTGGCTTCCATGCCGCCTGGGAGCATTTACTCGCCACTAAAACTACCAACGATCAATCGGAAAGGGAAGCAGGCGTCAAGCGCAAACAACACACCTGATAAACGATCACCGGCGCTGAAGTTGCTCGAGTCGCCGTTGTACAAGTCGCTGACGAAGCTTCGCGCCGATACAGGTGGGTTTGGCTCAGCTGGGACGTCACCGGGCCAGAAACTCAAGAAGACACTGCAGAACGTGGATAATGTGGCGTTGCTACTGCGAAAGATGGGGCTGCATGACTCGACTGGAGCTGCGTCTCCAGCTCATCGAGCGGATCACGCTGTTGACAAGCGAATGTGCAACGCGTGCTGGGCCAAACCTGATAAAATCACGGGCTGTGAACATCATTCCCGAGTTTATCCAACAGGCAAAAGTGCCAAAAGTATTGAGGGAGATGCGCTATCATTTCTGACGAGCATGGAGTTGCAGGGACCCACAAGTTGGCTATCAGATGATATTTTCGTCAAGTATCGCAGTGAGAAAGATCGCGAGAAATTGTGGTTTGCCTATGTGGAACTAAAAACGAAGCAACAAGAGATCGAAGCGCGCGGCACTGCAAATGCCAAAGAACAGGCCAGTCTTGCCGTCATTCCCATCGTGACACGACACCCAATTTGTGCACTGTTCGAGACGCTTCAAAACCTGGAGAATCTGCGCACGCAAGCTGAAACTCGCAAGCGCAATCTGACAAAGACGTTCGTCTTCGACGTGAATCACATTTGGCTCACGAATCTTGATCACTTTAATCATCGACCTGCCATCCATCATATATCGGACTCACCAGAAGAAGAATGCGAGCTCATTGACCCTGAAAGCCTCGCGCTTAGTGATCGACGAGACGAGCGAGCGATACGAGAAGGATATTCACAGATCCAGTCGATTTCGACTGAACGAGCGTTGAAACGGGTTGTATCCATTGGAGGTGGGTCTTCCTATCAACGACAATCGCCGCAAGACAACTCGCTGCGTACTACGAGCACTCGACGACGCAAACCTTCGTCGATAAGAGGAAATGACTTTCGACCGTTGAGTTTGCTGGTCTGTGGTCGATGGAGTCCTGAAGGCCACCCCAACGCACTACAAAGCGTGCCAGGAGTGGCTCTCGTGGGGGATGGGCCTGTGCTGTGGTGGCGGTACGATCCCGATCACGAAACTTCAGAGGAAGGGGAACGTCCGCCAGAATACACCAAGACAGTGGCTCTATTCGAACGCAACAGCAAGTTATCGTCCTCGAACGCCATCCTCGTGGTGCTGGTCCTTGCGTTGGACGCACCGATCCTGTCGCCTGTGTGGTTTGCATGGCACGTCGGCTCCAAGATGCCGCCTCCGGAGCTCGAGGCCGCGGTCTTCAGCCTTGCAGAGGCCGAAACAGGCTTTGGTCGAGTCATGGTCTTCGTTTCTCCCTGTCTCGGTAGTCTGCGAAGTACACGCTTAGACTCAGTATTGGACGAGTTGCTACCTGGAACCATAACACTACTCAACGACGCTGCAGAGGAAGAAGATCATTGGCTGCAACTCGTAGAGCAGTCGTCGTCACCCGTGGGACATCGTCGAGGTTGGGGCGAATTTACAGATCGACATACATTCCGACATTGGCTTTTACTGACACAAGGCGGTACCATCACTCCTCGTTTCGATGTTGTTGCACAGTTTTGCAGTGTGACTATTGCACACCCTAACGCCCCTGGTGTATGCGGTCGATACTGCTGGCATGAAGTAGACCCCGTCGAGAAACTCTTGTGTCGACGTCGCGTGGAGAAAGATCTGCTGTATATTATCCAGAATCACTTGACTAGTGGACCCAACGACCCCAGTTACTTCAGTGCGCTCATGAGCCATGAGACCATGGCAGACGTACTAGGAGCTCGACTGTCGAGCTACTTGGCCATGGTAGCAGAGCGTGAAGCTCGTGCTGCCTACGAGAAGAAACTCTATGAGATCGAACAGAAACTCGAAGCCGGTCGCTTGGCACTGGAAGCGAAACGACAAGAGCAGAAGCGGTTAGAGCAGGAACTTGAGGCTGCAGCAGCCCAAGCTGAAGCTCGCAGCAAAGGCGGAATTAACAGCACGACGGAAGACGCTGTGGTACAGGAATGGGCTCAGAGAATGGCCGGGTCGGCTGTGGTCGAGCTGCAAGGACTGTGGGAGATGCGAGAGATCACTCTCGACTCCAGCGGTGTTGTGTTCTACCACTCGTTGAATGAGGGACTACCCGTGACGAGACGATTCCAATGGGGACAACCGGAAGAATGGAAGGCAAGCGAGGGAAACGAAGACGAAGAGTCCGAGTCGTCCGTGACGTCCCGAAGCGAGCTGTCCGCTGGTAGTTTTACGGTCTCCACTATCACAAGCAAGCAACAAGTGAATTCAGAAGCTCAGCAAGAGTTGATGCGGTCTCTGCTCGAAGACGAACAGTTCTTGCAGCAACTTAAAGCGAAACTGGGCTTGACGTCGAGATCCCGGCCGGCATCTCGAGCCGCAGCACGTTCCGGCAGACGCAGTCTCGTGTTTGAGGACCGAGAGGACGAGAATGACGCACGACAAGTTGATCTAAAGGACGAAATGGATGCGCTGGTGGATGAAGCTATGGACCGATCCAAGTCGGCTCTGGTAGCAGCCAAAGTGGCCAAACTACAGCTTAAACTACCGCAGACTACCGGAGTTAGGGTTCCCCAGCCAGTCAACCCTCGCGGTGAAGGCTGGAAACGACTCAAGACTTCGCGTTTGCCACCAAATTTCGCTCGCACCGTGTATAGCACACACACCGAGGGGCCTCGCTCAAGTTTCATGAACCAGACAAACCACGCGACACTCGTGGGCATGCTGGACCCCGCAGATTGTTCGCCCTACGACCCTCCCGAGTTCATCCCCGAGCTGCGAGCGCATTTCGTGCCGCGAGTGGCGGAGGATCTTCACGAGAAGAAGAGGCAATGGGCCGAACTCATGCGCTCGCAGCAGGCAGAGACGCCGAACGCAGTCGCTCGACGTGGAGCAGTGTCGGTAGAGCCGACCGACGACTTATTCGAGCACGACACACGGCAACCGAATAAATCCAAGGAGCAGATTGAAGCTCGTGCTCTACTTTGCGCTCGCAACAACAACCTCGAAGGCGTACGTGGCTTTGAGGTACATTGGCCTGCTTCGGACAACAGTCTCACGTTTTGGTATCTTTCTTTTTGCAGCTCGAGCTGGCGCTGGACCAGGGTGTGGATGTCAACGCACGCGACAACCACGGCAACACGCTGTTCATTCTAGCGTGCCAACAGGGCAACAAGCGTCTGGCCAAGTTCCTTCTGCGTCGTCGTGCAGACATGAATCTGCAGAACTTGAACGGGAACACCGCACTGCACTATCTGTATGCGTACAAGCACACGGATCTGGCTGAGTATCTCAAGGCGAAAGGAGCTAAGGACACGACCCAGAACGCCGCTGGTCTCACGTGCTACGAGGGTCTCAGCCAGGACGACGTAGACAGCATCTAAGCTGAAGCCAGTATATACACAATTGCCAGCAAGAACGAAATCTTTGACCGCGTTTTCAAGGCAACGTCATTCCCCACGTCAAAAGTGGTTTTTGCCTGTCAACACATTTAGATAATTGTCGCAGCAAACTGCAACACTGTCGAATGCAAAACCTCAAGTCTAAGACAAACAAAATAGGGATGAATTTGAGCGAGACAAGAAGCAATTCAAACGACGTTGCACTGTCCTGAAAGATATGAAAAAACCTAGTACATGTCGCCCTCGAAGAGCAGCTCGTCCTCTTTCTTGCGGTAGATCTGGTCGCCTTCGTGAAGTGAGACTTCCAGAGTGGCAGGGCCAATGGGACGCTGCAGTGCCACAGGTTGCTTGTCGCCCGCGGTGAGCGGTGTCATGATCTCCTCGTAGTCGTCGGTGGCCTCCTGCTCGCGCATCAAAGCCGTCTGGCGAGCGCGTTCACGCACCTTCGCGCCGAAGTGGATGAGACACATGAGTAGCGCCACGCCGCCGATGACGATGCCCGTGATGGCCGCGCCGCTCAAAGTGGTCGCCTTAGAGGCCGACTTGGTGTACGTCTTGAAGGTCGTGTCCCAGTCCGAGGCCAGACCTGTACGCGACGTGCAGCACTCGAGGTGCTTCTCCCAGACGGCATTGGTGATGACGCACCGTCCAGCGAGACCCTCGCACTTCTCGGCCAGGTTCTTCCACGTGTATGTCTTGGTCTTCGAGTACGTCAGCTGACTAGTCAGACAGCCACTGAGAATCATGGGGGTGCCACTGGGGTCACCGTAGCAGCCGCTTTGGATCATCTTGGAGCCCTTGATGCTTTTGGTGTTGCTCGTGTAGCGGATATTCTGTTTCCCGACGGCCCAGAAGGTCTCGCAGTCCGTAGAGGCGAATAGAATGGCAGTCATGGAGTCGCTCAGCGGCTTGAGCGCGTTGTTGATACGCCACTCGAGCGTGGGACCATGCAGGAAGCCGCAGTTCTCGGCTGTCGCGGGGGAAGCCTCCGTGGAGCACGAGGGCTGCGTAGTGGAGGTCGATGAGTAGCAGCAGCCGTTGCTCTTGACCTGCGTGTAGATGCTGGGCAGCGACGCCGTCATGGTCGTGTTGGTGGCGTTAATTGTGGTGCCATCATAGCTTTCGGTGGGGGCGATGCACGTGTAAGGGCACGTCACACAGCCGCCATTCTTGTCGTAGTTGCTCCAATCGTCCGTGGAGATCTCGATCACGTAGCCAGCCGACTGGTTAAAGTAGTTTTTGGCCTGCGTGGCCGAGGCTAGCAGCAACGGCGCGAGAAGCGCTAAGCAGCGGCGGCTGAACGGCATGATGTAGTGTATCTGCGTCAGTGTCAGACTCACTGGACTATTTATCAAGGGGACCGCCCGCGCCTCGGGTGGTGAGCTCTGTCTTCGTCTTTCGACCGCGGCAAGAGAAAAATACAGAGTGGGGGGAGAGTCTGAATGGGGCGGCGGTTGGCAAGGCAAAACGGAAGCTGCGTAAATTACCGATAAATGACGGCAAAAAACAAGTCAGTTCGCACCATATGGCCAGCGACGGTTCACCCATTGACGCGATCGTCACGCGAAAATTTCGGAAACCACTGACCTGACTGTGAACTTCACAGTGTGAAGACTTGTGTTGCCGCTGCTCGTCTTAGTGATCCAATTTTGCGCCTGCTGCCTCGTTGTCAGCCACGCAACGATGATCTCAGTGGAGCGCACTGCGAGCAGCTCCGCACAGTGCATTGACTTCTTTGCTACATGTACGAACTGGCGGTGCTAAAAGGTTGGTGGTGGCTTTGGACTCAAGCAGATGGACTGTGGATTTTTCTGATTCGATCAAGACAATTTTTGATCGGCAATTTTTGAAAACGACACGAAGGGTGCCCATCAATACAAGCTGAATTCTGCGGCAAGACGAGCACTCTACGCTCTATTAAAGTTGGGGTGCCGCCCCGCCGAAATGGCCCCCGCCCCGCTCAGCTTCCAGGGCTTCTTGCAACTGCCAGGAGAGCCCAGCCTGGTTGAAGTGCTCGAGTTCGTTGGCTCGCGACCAAGCTGCCGCGTCGCTGCTTTAACAAAGTTGTCGCTGCCACGCGAGCGGGCAAAACGGGGCACCAGTCGCGCATCGAGCTCGCACGGACGACGAGGCTGTCATTTCAGCGAGGACTTGGAAAGTTTCCAATGGAAACTATTTATGGTACAGTATTGCTCTCATTTCGGAATCTCGAGCTACAGCGTAGCGCTGGTAGTGCCCGAAAAAGAAAGCAACAACCCGGCCTGTACATGTGTGATAACTTCATAATATAAAAGTGTAAAGTATAGATCTCGAAGCCCATCTTATCGTTGCAGCAGCCTGAATTATCTGACGGCTGGGATCACACTTGTCATATGGGTACAGTCGAACACTACTGTTCAGTGAACAGTGCTGGCCACCCAGATCCAATGGCTTTGCAAGTGGCGGTACATGTACTGGATCGCAAATGGCCACACATGACAGCTCGCTCAGCGAGACAAGCACTTTGTGTCCTCCACCGCATGCGTGCGAGCATGCGGAACCAGTCTCTTCCGCTGGGTTAGTCGGGGCGCCTCGTGTTGTCGCGGCGGAGCAATGCTGACGGGGACAGCCCGTGATGCAATCTATCTCGGACTAAAAATAACGCAAAGTTCATGACACACTACGCGCTGCGACGAATCATCTACCCTTGCTGGCACGTCTTGGACATGAATAGTAGTGGCTACAAGACGGCCTTACTTAACTGAAGTACTGGTAACCTAAGTACATGAACATTGATTCTAAGCTTAATGAAACTCCTGTCGAATCCTGAGTTGCAGGATGGAGCCAGTTTTAGCTCGGCGTCCCGTCTCTCGCTTTTTGCTTTCCGTTTTGGATTCTTGCAATAAATTACGGTAATTTATCTCTCCGATCGCACGCCAGAGGAAACTCCCGCCTCTCACAGAGAAAACACCCGGCAAGTGGAAACCGAGCGCCCACAGGACCTCATTTCTGGTTTTGAGTTCACTCGACAGCAGACCAAAGCGCGCCGGCCTTCTTCCCCTCACTGGAGTCGAGTGCCTAGGCGCCTTACCACATCGGCTTCGACCTGTCGGATCGACCTACAAGCCAGACACTCAACAGGGAAGACCTACACTCCTACCACCAGCCAGTAGCAGCGGCTCTTCAGCAGCATGGGGCTCACCGGCGCGGGCATTATCGCCTCCGTCGTGGGTATCCTGGGCGGCGTGTCGCTGTCCTGCGGCGGCTGGTCCTCGCTGTCCCTCGGGGCACGCTCACTCTTCGTTACCACGCAGTTCCTCTCCGCCTTCGCGATGTAAGTGCCCAACCTGACCATCACTCTGACAAAAGGAGAGCCAGCTACATTTTCCAAGTCTATTTATAACTGACTCTCATATTTTGTATCTTGATCAATTCAGGGGATTTGTGGTAGCTTTTTCCGCCATCGTCTCCCTCTCGGACACAAATGAGTGGGTCGCCGTGGCCGCCGGAGGTGGTGCAGGCTTCGTGATCGCGCTCATCGTGGGGTTCATGACGATCTTTGGCCCGTACATCCTGATCCTGATCACAGGCGGCCTCATCGCCTGCTATTTGCTGCTCGTGGACGCGTACGACGGCATCAACGTGTTCCCTGCGGACAACCAGCTGGCTCGCCAGGAGTTCGTGATCGCCTTCATGATTATCTTCGAGCTCGTGTGCTGCTCTTCGTCCAAGACGTCGGAGCTGGAGAACCACCGCTTCAAGTACATTGTCTTCTCGGCCATCACGGGTGGCTGGATGGCTGCTGATGGTGTCTCGCGTCTCATCGACTCTGGCGCTGTGCTGTCGACTGTGGCCTACACGTCGATCCAGGACGGCGGCAAGGCGGCAATGGACGGCATCGACGCTAGCGCCCAGACGCTCATGTTCGTGATCTGGGGCGCAGTCTTCGTGGTCGGCGGCCTCAACCAGCTGTCGATGCGCTGGGGTCTCATGTGCTACAACCGCGTGGGTGCACACGCTCAACTGGGCCCCGTGGAAGAGCAGATGCCTGAGCTTCCCACTGGCGCCACTCTTCCAGCTCAGACGATGACGGAACGCGTGCGTCTCGTGTGTGAGAACTGCTTTGCTACTGTTCCTGCTGGCACCGCCTTCTGTACCGAGTGTGGTGAGGCTATGCCCTCGGAAGACGGCAACCCGGACGTGAGCATCTCGCAGGCGCAAATGCCGTCAGTCTCGATGAACAACAAGGGCCAGGTGCCCGATCGCTGGCAGCATGTGCCACACCGCACGTACATGAGTACGACGTCGTTCGTGGACCCCAAACACGCCAAGGAGGGCGGTGTGAGCATGAAGGACAACGGCCGCAGTATCCGCTTCATGGACTCTGGCGTCCAGGGCCCCGACGGCAAGATGAGTCAGTACAACGACTCGATTGCTGGCGTGCGCAACTACTACGAGCCTTCGTTCCGCTCGTTCGCCATGTCCACGTACTCGATCGCTAACCGCGCGGCTGAGCCCGTGGAGACGCCCAACATCCGCAAGTACAAGATGTCGGGTAGTGGCATGTTCCACGTCTTCTACTTCGGCACGGCTGCTACCGGTATCTTCTGGCTCTACTACTTGACGACGATGTACCCGCAGCAGTATTTCTGCGACCACGCGCGTCCTACGCTTCCATGCAGTGGGCTGCCGACAAGTGAGACGACGGGATGCTACAGCTCGACCGTCAACTTTGACGCGGACTCTGGCGATGGATACTGTATCAAGGACGTGCCGTTCATGTCGTGGCTCATGTACGCCATGATGATCTTCAGCGAGTTTCTCAACTACTTCCTGGGTCTGCTATTCAACTTCAGTATGTGGCGCCCCATCCGTCGTGGCGCGCGCTACATGAACGACTTCAAGCCGCCCATCCCGAAGGAGCAGTGGCCCACAGTCGACATCTTCTTGTGTCACTACATGGAACCTGTGACGGACTCTATGCAGACGCTGAAGAACTGTCTGGCCATGCAGTATCCCCCGGAGCTGCTGCACATCTTCATTCTGGATGATGGCTACACCAAGTCGGTGTGGGACGCCAACAACCACTTCAAGGTGACGGTGAACACCAAGGTGATTGAGGTCGCTGGTGACTTGCGTGGCGATCTGGCGCGACTCATGCACGAGCGCGTGGTGGGTCCCGTCCAGGACGACCAGAGCCTGAAGTCGTGGCGTCGTCAGCACAGCTCGGTGCGCGAGCTGCGTAAGGAGGGCGGCAAGGGCGTGCAGCGTCGTGACTGTGCCGTGGGTTCGCTCTCGGATGACTACGACTACCGTGACCGCGGCATCCCTCGTGTGACGTTCATTGGACGTATGAAGCCCGAGACGCACCACTCCAAGGCCGGTAACATCAACAACGCGCTGTTTAACGAAGGCGCAGACGGCAAGTACCTGCTGATTCTGGATAACGATATGAAGCCGCACCCCAAGTTCCTATTGGCGGTGCTGCCCTTCTTCTTCTCGGAGGGCGAGGCGGTGGACGGTGGAGGTCGTCAGTACTCTGACGATATCTCGTGGAACCAGGTCTCGTACGTGCAGACCCCGCAGTACTTCGAAGACACCCCGCAACTGACCATCATGGGCGACCCGTGTGGACACAAGAATACCATTTTCTTCGACGCCGTGCAGTGCGGACGTGACGGCTTCGACTCGGCCGCTTTCGCCGGTACCAACGCCGTTTTCCGTCGTCAAGCCTTCGACTCGATTGGTGGAATCTGCTACGGTACCCAGACAGAAGATGCCTACACGGGTAACGTGCTGCACACGTCTGGCTGGGACTCGGTGTACTTCCGCAAGGACTTTGAAGGAGACGCAAAGGACCGTATCCGTCTGTGCGAAGGAGCTGTGCCCGACACGGTCGCTGCTGCCATGGGACAGAAGAAACGTTGGGCCAAGGGTGCCGTGCAGATTCTGCTGATGAAGAATGAGAGCGAAGTCGACCCGGACTGGCGTCCCCCGCGTGTGCCTGCCCCTGACCCGAAGCCGTCGCTCACGTTCCCGCGTAAGATGTTCTTCTACGACTCGGTGCTGTATCCGTTCGGCTCCATCCCGGCCCTGTGTTACGTGTCGATCGCCGTCTACTACCTGTGCACGGGCGACGCCCCCATTTACGCGCGTGGAACCAAGTTCCTGTACTCTTTCTTGCCCGTGACGTTCTGTCGCTGGGTGCTGAACTTGCTCGCTAACCGCGCAGTGGACAACAACGACGTGTGGCGCGCCCAGCAGACGTGGTTCTCGTTCTCGTTCATTACGATGATGGCTATTGTGGAGGCCATTCAGGCGCGTGTGACAGGCAAGGACAAGTCGTGGGCCAACACGGGTGCCGGTCAGAAGACGTCGTGGACAGAGATTCCCAACGTTCTCTTCTTCTTCACGCTGCTCTTCAGTCAACTGGTGGCGCTGGTGCGTTTCTTTGAGTACGAGAACGCCACGAACCCGTGGAACTACGTGTCTGCCATGTTCTTTGGCTTCTTCGTCATGAGCCAGTTCTACCCCATGGTCAAGATGAGTATCACAGAATACTGTGGCTGGGACCACACGGCTGCCACGTTCACGGCGAACGTGTTCGGCTCGCTGCTGGTGGTGTACATCGTGGTGTTTGTGCAGCTGTGGCAGGTGTACTACGAGGGCAACTTGCAGGTGGCCCAGGGCACAGACGCTGGTGGGTCTGCTGCGGCCACTTAGTTTGGATTGCCATGAAGAAGACCCCGAGCCACTCGGAAGAGGAAGACGAGGAAGGCAAAACAGAGAGCGCACGCAGCGGTAGTGTAGCCTTATGTAGCGAACCAGCTGAGGCGCTTGAACGCCTTGTGAGTCTTTTGGTCTCTCGTAGTGACAGGACATTTTCATACGTAAAAAACTGCTTTTTGCTTGGAAATGGTGTGGAAAATTATGCTGTAGGATATCGTTTTAGCAATGCGATCTGTGAAAATACAGGAAACGGAAGCAGGTTGAGAGACGTGTTTCGCTGAAGGATGCAGGTTAAGCGAGTCGTGCTGCTTGTCGCGTGGATGGCTTGTGTCGGAGGTGCCACGTCAAGACGTCGAAAGCAGCGTGTATGCACGTTCGAAGGTTATTATACGGTCCCAGGAGCGACCACGACGCAGCCGTGTCCTGGTGCTATGCCTTGTCCGCCCGGCTTCTATTGCACGTAAGCTGAAATTGGGGATGAACCATACAGGTTAACCACTTAATGCGTTTTTGATGTTGTAGAGGTGGAGAGCGACGACCGTGTCCCGCTGGCGTCTACGGAGCTGGAGAAGCTTTACGTACGAAACAATGCTCAGCTCCATGTCCTGAAGGTTTTTGTTGTCCGGAGGGATCTGCCACACCACTAGAATGCGGCGCAGCAGATGTGTATTGTCCTCTGGGCTCGAGGCTTCCGGTTCCAGTACCTGAAGGTTTCTACGCACTAGGAGGAGAGCCGACACTTCGACGTCGCAGCAGCATCAGTCCGTGCAGTTCTGGATCGTATTGCGTCGCTGGAAGATCGCAGAAATGCCCTGCTGGGACTTACGGAGCTGCTGCGAAACTTTCAGCGTCAAAGTGCACAAACTTGTGTCCAGTTGGCCACTTTTGCCCCATAGGCAGCACTAAACCGGCCCCGTGTCCTGCTGGGACGTATGGAGACACAGCAGGACTCAGTGACGCGAGCTGTTCCGGTGTTTGTCCTGTTGGTTTTGCCTGTCCGGAAGGAACTGCCTCAGCCACGACGTGGCCATGTGATCACGACACTTTCTGCCCAGCAGGAAGCGCAAAACCTCGAGCACCTCGTCCAGGCACACACGTGGTTAAAACGACAAGAAGAACAGAGGAAGTGGCGTGTCCAGTAGGCTCGTTTTGCAGTCCCAACGAGGCTCCAGGCGGCTCTAGACTCTGTCCAGGTGGAACTTTTGGCAACGTCACTGGCCTTGCGAGCGCTACGTGCTCTGGACAGTGTAACGCAGGACACTTCTGCCCTAGAGGCAGTATAAGCGCTACCCAGCTATCCTGTGGAAGTGTGGATACGTTTTGCCCTTCTGGTTCTTCGATTCCAACTCTTGTAAGCCCAGGGTTCTACACTGTGGGTCTAGGAATACCTACAAGCTCAGTAGCTGTCGACGTCTTAGAAGCAGAGCAAGCCAAGGACCGAATCACTCGCGTGGCGCAAAGAAGATGCGAACCAGGCCACTACTGTGTGAAGGGAGAGCGCTTTGCTTGTCCTGCTGGGGTGTATGGCAATGAAACCGGCCTTACTACTTTCCAATGCTCGGGTCCGTGTGCTGCTGGGTACTATTGTCCGGAAGGAAGCATCGTGGCTCAAGCTGTGGCTTGTAGTACGAGTGTAAACTTCTGTCCACAAGGCTCAGCGCTGCCAAGTGCAACATATACAGGATACTGTGCTGTCTCTGATGATACTGACACTGGAGCGGGATTTTATGCTCATCGTAAGGCAAAGCCAGGAGAGTTTGCGTACAGAGGAACGTGTTATCCGTGTCCAGCGGGGACTTACGGCTCTGAAGAGATGGAGACGAGATCGACGTGTGCTGGTCCGTGTGCTGCAGGGTTCTTTTGCCCTCCTGGAAGTACAACGCCGACCCAACGTGAATGTGGCTCGGCTGCTGTGTATTGTCCTGTGGCTTCTGCTCAGCCTCGAAAAGTCCTCGAGGGATACTATACGTCACTACAAGCTCATGCGATCATTCCAGATGGAAGCCAAGCTCCTGGCTGTGAACCAGGCAAGTACCGAGACTACTCCACTACCGTCAGTGCATTCATGGACGTGGTAACCGGTCGGAGTCCTATCGTCGTTGACTATGGAGACTTTTCCTTTCGTGTAGCTCGATGTGTGGCGTGTCCTGATGGAACCTTTAAGCCAGAGACTGGAGACGACGCTAATCTGTGTCACCCGTGTCCGGAGTATACTACTGTCAGCACAAGTGATCGACGGTCCTGCTCCTGTTTCCGTAAAGCTGGTGGAGACAGTTTTAACACTTCAAAGTACGCTTTACACTTCCACAAAACAACGTTAACCTGTGATCTCGTGGATAAGACGATTCTTAATGCTATCGAAGACAGCATAACTAGCAACAACTCGGTGTACACGCGCTCGCAGCAGTTTCCGTGTGAACGAGGTTACTTCTGCAAGGATGGGGTACGTTCTCCATGCCCTGCAGGGTACTACGGCGACAGAACCTTAGAAACTCGACCGACGTGCTCTGGTGTTTGTTCGTCCGGGTTTTATTGTCCCCTTGCGAGTTGGAATAGCACAGCGCGCGTATGTGGAGACGAGAGCGTGTTCTGTCCAAGGGGAAGCGCAGTCCCGACCCCCGTAAAGACAGGTTACTACTCCATTCGCCCGCTTCCTTCTAAAGCTGAAGGCTACAGCATAACGACATCGCATAGCGAGGATCTGCTTCGTAGTTGTGAACCCGGGGCATTCTGCGTTGACGGCAAGAAGTTTCTGTGTCCTGCTGGACGGTATGGCGACAAGTTAGCAGAGACTTCTCCACTCTGTGCAGGTTTGTGTACTCGAGGGTATTTCTGTCCCGAGGGAAGCACTTCTCCGACGCAGATTGAGTGTGGCGGCGATGGGTTCATCTGTCGAACGGGGTCTTCTAAACCGCTGGCTATTCCTCAAGGCTATTACGCCATTGGTGTCACCAACACTACACGATTCTTCCAGAGACCTTGTGAACGAGGGTATTTCTGCGTTAACGGCGTCAAGTATCAGTGTCCTTCAGGTACATTCGGTGCCACGAGTGGTCTCACTACTGCAGCGTGCTCTGGTACATGTGCGCCAGGGTATTACTGCCCTTCGTATCCAGAGCCGCCGAGTGTTATCAAGACACAGCACGAGTGTGGCAGCAGTGTAACGTACTGTCCTGAAGGTACTGGGAACGAACCGTTGTTCGTGAGAAGCGGATACTTCAGTGTCTTAACGAGTGGAATGATGGACGACGGTCGCAATGCGACGCAGAACGACGTCAGAATCTGCTCAAAGGGTTTTTACTGTCGTCAAGGAATCCGCATTCGCTGTCCAGAAGGCTCTTACGGAGACGTAGAAGGACTGACTGCTGCGTCGTGCAGTGGCTGGTGTCCTGCGGGCTACTTTTGTCCGTACGCTACGACAGAATACAGGGCAAATCCATGCCCCATCGGGACGTACTCTTCAAAAGGAGCTGCAGAGTGTATTCAATGTCCGAGTTCTTCTCAAAGTAGAGCGTCAGTGGTGGAGAAGCTCCAGTTACTCCCACAAGACCGATTGCCGTGTACCACACACCGTGAATGCTGCTTCTTTGGCTAGAGGAAGAGGGTGTGCTGACATTGCGGAGTGATGCACAGTTAGACAAACAAAAGATACTGTTGTTACTCTGGAAAATACAAATAATTTCTCATTATCTGCTGAAACAAAATGGAGAGCGTGCCCCGAAGACGTCGACTGCATTATTATACCACGCCTTTGTCAGTGCAGTAACGACAGAGGACTGCTCGCAGTGCGTCTACAGAAGTTCAACAGCAACTTTTTTTTCCAATAGTGAGAGAAGTACAGTAATCGCAGGCCGTTCAACAGAATAATAAAGGTGTTTGTCTAACGCTCCTCCTCAAAACTAAGAAACACGAACGCAAGCCGCGTATCTGAGTTTTTTCGTCTTAATGAGCTTACTTCATGGCGTCACAACGATTGAGGTCAGCAGCGATCACCTTTTCACCCCGTCGTCTCCTCGACACTGCTGGGTTCACCACGTTCCTCGGTGAAAGTACCAGTGCCATTTCGGAATAAACTTCCGAGCTGCAACGATGAAGGTCACTCTCATCCTGTCCGTGCTAGTCGTCATCATGGTCATTGCCCTCGCAAACGCCGAGCCTCCACAGAATAAGCCTCTCCTCGTAGACGAGAAATGTGACGGTGCCCGACAGCAACAAAGTGAAAGCGTAAAAAACGTTATCGGACTCGCCACCTCCGTGTTGAACAAGCTGACACCCGCGGCGCCTACGGTCGACTCGCCTCTACCCGACTCAGTATCTGATAAAATAGCGCTCCGACGTCGTCGCCGATCTACGTAGAGGAATGAGGGTGTTGGGTTTTCAACACACTGCTTCCTTCGAGACTTTTTTTTTCATTTAGGGGGAAAATGAATGCTGCTTTTATCTTTACCTGTCATCGTCGACGATCGATGACTCATCGATCTTCTACCGGTACCGGTATCTGCCGTAATCGTTTTTATACCCTACTTCGTTGATAGTGACTTGACAAAGAAAAAAGAAGTAGTATATATTCCCGATTACCCGTTATGACGGACCATGGCATTCAGCAGAACCACCACTTCGAAATATGTCCCGTATCCCGGAGAATGTAGTGTGTCTGTCCCAGCCGCTGCGGGCAGGCTTTGGTGCCAAGGATCTCGCGGAAGGTCAACGAGCTGCGACGGTGGGCCGGCTGGTTCCCGTTGACCCCGCAAGCTCCCACTCACTCGGCACATGGGACCGGTGAAGTTATGGTGTGATTGTATTGGAACGCTACGATGGAGTACAGGAACGGTGTGTGAGCTCCCTCCTATCGTCCCACGTGACTGGGGACAAGGCCGGATGCGCAAGGTGGACCGCGTCTCGGACCTTCCTGTCGCCGCACGAGGACGGATGTCATGGAGAAGGACTCTTTTGATCAAGATAAACTGAGCGGTGTCGTGTATAGGAAAGCGAGTTGGCGGTAGGCCCTCGTTAATCTCAGTCCTACATCTACTACCTCTTGCCTAAGCTGAGTGAGAGAAAGAAACAAGAAGCTTTTTGGAGTATTAAGTTATCTTGTGCTACCGTTCCTGCCACTGCTCGAGACCGTACTCCCTAAACAGCCGCGAGCTACCCGACCCTAGAGGTGGTGTACGACACTTGGTGGAGAAGCAGGGTAGTCTGCTTGCTGGAGAAGGTCTCGTTTGAGTGAAGACTCGCAGAAGAGCGTGTACTACTACTACTTTGACGGAGAAACATTGGGGGCTGAGATGTCTTCCGCGCAAGGCCCTTACGAAGACGTCTACGACGAGTCTGGAGACGAAGGAACGGTCGCTGGACCGCAGGAGATCCTAACTGATCCCTCCCGACCGAGTTTGACTACTACTGAAGGTATTGGGGCCGTGCACTCTATGGTACAGCGTGCCGGTGTCCGAGTACGTGGTTAGAGTGGCCCGGATGCGGGTACTGGAAGGATTGAAGAAAGCTCGGTCCCGAGAGACACCTCGACGAGCGTTCCCGCGGCGCCTCAAGACTCGAACCCTGACACGTTCGTGGCGCTCTCGCCCGGATCTACCGACTCGACTGAAGGCTGGCTTAACGCGTGTAGATGGCTCAAATCTATGGCGCCTCCTGAGGTGGCGGCGAGCCTCCCTGTATGGTTGCAGCAGCCCTCGCAGCCTTGGAACACTGGAAAGAATACACCACAA